GTTGGCAAAGGGGAAGAAAGTGTTCAAATGGGAAGGAGAACAAGGGAGGAGGGAGGGAGAAAGGAAGGAAGGGATAAGAAAAAAAGTGAAAATAGAAGGAAAAAATGGAAACAAAGCTTTTGTAGATAGGGAGGGGAGGGGGCTTGAGGGGGGAATGGGATAAAATAAAATTATTTTTCAAAATGTAAAACAACTGTACTTTCAGAGTTGTGCACATAGTGGATAAAACTATAAAGAACAGCGAAAGTTATTCCTGGTGTCAGAAACTTCCTTGAGTGTGACAAGGGGACAAGTGTTGGGGACAGTCTTCCAAGGTGTTGGCAGTGACTTTTCTTGACCTTGGTGATCCTTTTGTGGTATTCCGATGCTGTACAAAAGAAGAAATGCATTTTATGCGTACGTGTTTTGTATACTTCTGTATATGTGATATACCATGGTATGCTGAGTATAAAACATCAGAATTTTATATAGATCTGAGGACAGTTTCAGAAGGGAAATTCTGAAGACATTTCAAGGTAATGTCATTGGAGCAGCTAATAATCTCTCAAGGAAATCGTTTTGAAGATGTAAGTTCTGGTGTATATTTTTTAAATCAGCTTTTTAAACTGCTGTGTTAATTTGCTTAATAATAGTGCAGGAAATTTACAGTATACCTGAAGGTGTCATTTCTTTAGAGAAAGCAGAATCATAAATTTATTGAAGTTCAAGACTTCGCTTAGGTCTAGGAATTTGTATAGTTTATTATATTAGATTGGTTATTACGCAGATGAATAGCTTGAGGAATCATCAAAATTAGAGTCGCACTTTAGAGTCTGGTTTAGTTAGCATATATGTAAACAATATGTCCATTTGATAAACTTGTGCTTCTAGGAAACCGAGAAGCCTTTTCAAACCTTTCATGTCTCTCACTGAAAGACTCCCTCTCTCAAGTAAACTGGATCTTTGTGTTGGGGGTTCAGAGCGAGTCAGTGAGCCTGACTGGTGGTTAGGGTTTTAGCCCTCCTGCCGCTCTGTGTCCGTCCACCAGAGAGTTTAAAGAAGTTGTTGCCCAGCGTCAGAACTGCTGATCTAAATCGATTGTCTGCTCTGTAGGTGATGATGAACCCAAAAGGCCATCACGGTAGAAACGAAAACCAAAATACACTCATAATCCTCAGAATGGACAGTTGATCTTAAACTAAGATTTTTGTGGGCTTTTTAAAAAAACTAAAGTTAGAGAATTCCATATTGGGTTTCTGCTAAGAGCTAAACTCAGTTTTTGAGATTAGAAGTAATCTTAAAACTATTAAATCTGAGCCGGAGCCTGAGCCGCACGCTGTGTCTCTGCTGTGTCCACCGAGGTTCGCTGTGTCCAACGAGGTTCCCAGTGTCAGGACCAAAAGCTGCGACGCGCCCCTTGCTCCCTCCGCCAGGGCTCTTCCGCCGCTGTCGCCGCCCTTAAGAGTTCGCCGCCACAGCTACCGGTCAGGATCCAGGATCCGAGAGCCATGTCAGCCAGCAGCCTCTTGGAGCAGAGACCTAAAGGTCAGGGGAACAAAGTACAAAATGGATCCATACATCAAAAAGATGGATTAAATGATGATGATTTTGAACCTTACTTGAGTCCACAGGCAAGACCCAATAATGCATATACTGCCATGTCAGACTCCTACTTACCCAGTTACTACAGCCCCTCCATTGGCTTTTCTTATTCTTTGGGTGAAGCTGCTTGGTCTACTGGGGGTGACACAGCCATGCCCCATCTAACTTCTTATGGACAGCTGAGCAACGGAGAGCCCTACTTCCTACCAGATGCAATGTTTGGGCAACCGGGAGCCCTAGGTAGCACTCCCATTTCTGGGTCAGCATGGTTTTAATTTCTTTCCCAGTGGGATTGACTTCTCACCATGGGGAAATAACAGTTCTCAGGGACAGTCTACACAAAGTTCTGGATATAGTAGCGATTATGCTTATGCACCTAGCTCCTTAGGTGGAGCCATGATGGATGGACAGTCAGCTTTTGCCAATGACACCCTCAATATGGCTCCTGGCATGAATACTATAGACCAAGGGATGGCAGCACTGAAGCTGGGTAGCACCGAAGTTGCAAGCAGTGTTCCAAAAGTTGTAGGTTCTGCTGTTGGTAGTGGGTCCATTATTAGTAACATGGTGGCTTCCAATAGTTTGCCTCCAGCTACCATTGTTCCTGCAAAACAGCAACCCAAGCTGAAGACCAAGAAGGGCATTGCAGGTTCAAGTCTTCCACCCCCCCCAATAAAGTATAACATGGATATTGGAACTTGGGATAACAAGGGTCTAATGGCAAAAGCCCCTTCACAGGCTTTGGTTCAGAATTTAGGTCAGCCAACCCAAGGGTCTCCCCAGCCTGTAGGTCAGCAGGCTGACAATAGCCCACCAGTGGCTCAGGCATCAGTAGGGCAACAGACACAGCCATTGCCTCCACCTTCGCAGCAGCCTGCCCAGCTCTCAGTTCAGCAACAGGCAGCTCAGCCCACCCACTGGGTAGCACCTCGGAACCGTGGCAATGGGTTCGGTCATAATGGGGTGGATGGTAATGGAGTAGGACAGTCCCAGGCTGGTTCTGGATCTACTCCTTCAGAGCCACACCCAGTGTTGGAGAAGCTACGGTCCACTAATAATTAAAACCCCAAGGATTTTGACTGGAATCTGAAACATGGCCAGGTTTTCATCATCAAGAGCTACTCTGAGGACGATATCCACTGTTCCATTAAGTATAATATCTGGTGCAGCACAGAGCATGGTAACAAGAGACTGGATGCTGCTTACCGTTCCATGAACGGGAAAGGCCCCATTTACTTTTCAGTGTCAACGGCAGTGGCCACTTCTGTGGCATTGCAGAAATGAAATCTGCTGTGGACTACAACACATGTGCAGGTGTTTGGTCCCAGGACAAATGGAAGGGTCGTTTTGATGTCAGATGGATTTTTGTGAAAGACGTTCCCGATAGCCAACTGTGACACATTCGCCTAGAGAACAATGAGAATAAACCAGTGACCAACTCGAGGGACACTCAGGAGGTGCCTCTGGAAAAAGCTAAGCAGGTGTTGAAAATCATAGCCAGCTACAAGCACACCACTTCCATTTTTGATGACTTCTCACACTATGAGAAACGCCAAGAGGAAGAAGAAAGCGTTAAAAAGGAGCGTCAAGGTCGTGGGAAGTAAAATGCAGTTCGGCACAGACTGCAGCAACAGTTGCATCTGCAAATCCTAAGAGGAAAAAATGACCTTCAAGACAATTAGGACTTTTTTCTTAATTTCATTGACTTCAGAGACAATTGCAGACTTGCAGTTTAAGTATTGGAATTTCACAAAAGACATAGGACCTAACTGGAAAATGAAAAAAAAAAAAAAAAGAAAGAAAAAGAAAAGGAAAAAACTAAGCAAAAATCCCTCTAGGTAGTTTAGGTGAGAAGTTTCCCTTTTGTTTTGGCTTTGGTTGTGATTTCAGAGCATAATGCTTTTTTTGTCTTTTTACTATGTTTTTTGGATTTTTAAGTCCATCCTAAGTGCATACAGTTTTCTCTGATTTTTAAACCCTTTCCTCCCATTTTGACATTTGCGCTTGGAGAACACGAGTTGCGAAGGTTTTGGGTGTCCACCCCAGAAAGAGGGAATTTGATTTTTCCCTTCCAAACTGGAAGAACATTTTTATGAAGAAATTTTGTCTAGGAAAATTTAACAGTGTTACCCAAGATTGTGTCTTTAAGGGTCGTTCATTTTCTCTGACCCTTTGTTACTCAAAGTAAAGTACTAGGAGTCCTAAGAAATGCTCTGTTCTTGTACATTATACTGATTAAGCCAAGATTAATTTGATTTCAAAGCTAAGAACAGTGGTAAAAACTCATTTTCAGAAATGCATTTTGGAAGAGAAAAATATTGTAAAATGTGTAGTGAATGTTTCTTCAGTTTCTTGTTCAGCCAATGAGGAAAGGGCATCGCCTTTCTTTTTACCATTAATCACTTCTCAATAAACGTGAGATCCTGTTGAGCATCAAAAAAACCACAAAACTTAAATCTAAGACTTTGTTTAAAGAAAACAATTTTTAGCTTACTTGCTGGTCCTGCCTCTAATAGGTTATCTGAATGTAACACTGACTGAGTGATGGAATTGTCTTGAGAGTGATTCTTTGCACCCTCGCAGAGCCTTGCAGTCGTGCCTTGTTAGATACCTACTGGTGCATAATGAATCACCACACTTTAGTGGTTTAAAGCATCCATTAGAGATTGTTTGCCAGGAGGCCAAGCTCTGCTCGGCTGGCTCCCCCGCTCAGCATCTCACAGGCTCACATCCAGGCTGAGCTGTGACCCATTTGGAGCTCAGAGTCCTCTCCGAGCTCCTTGGGTTATTGGCAGTCAGTTCTTGGTGGATGGATGATCAAGCGCTCTGTTTTCTGTGACCTGGGGGCCTTTCACTCCTGGGGCTTCCCACAGCTCTTGCCGTGTGGCCCTCTCACAGTCCCTCTCATATCACAGCAGCTTCCTTTTTCAAGACCAGCAGAGGATTCTGCTAAGATAGCTGTGCATCGTATCACGTGAGGGAGATTTCCCATCACCTCTGCCGTATCCAGTTGGCTGGAGCAAGTCAGGAGACTGGAATTGTGTCACTGGCTGGAAGCAGGAAGGGGTGCCCATATTCAGAGGGAAGGGGTAATACAAGAGCTTGGGAGGTGGGTGTTCTTAGGATGTGTCCACCTCAGCTTTCCAAGGTGATGGCCTAGGAGTCGTCTGATGAGGTTAATGGCCTCGATCTTCTACCCACTGCAAGTAACAAGGTCCACTTGTGCTTTTAGATAACCTGCGTTTTATGACAAAGTGTGTAATTTGGATTTTTCCAGTGTTACCTTTTCTCACTATCAGAATTAAGGCAAATCTCTATTACTATAGATATTATGATTGCTAGTCACTGACGCTTCATGATGTAATTGAACATGACATTAATTCTCTCCTGTCCTTGGTTCATTTGTTCTTCCTTTACAGTGCAGGAATCACAGTCATGGCCCCCACCCTCCCGGATGTGGTCGGCATGGTGTCTGTGCACATGAAAGCAAAGAGCTTGCCAAGGCAAGAGAAATTCTTCCTCTTATAGAGGACTCTAGTAACTGTGACATTGTCAAAGCCACTCAGTAAGTCTTCCGAATGCTTTGTTTTATTCTTATTTTGTGATGAGTTATAATAATATGTGTGACATTCATGGCACCTTCCGCAATTCATATTGGCAGTTCAGTAGCACAGTGTACCTTAGCTGTTTATGTACCAGCCTCTTGCATTAGATGCTGGGCAACTTCTTAGGAAAAGCTTATCTTCATTGTCTTTGCAGCCCCAGGACTTTTGCACAGTTTTTCTTCCATTAGATGCCCATTAAATGTTTGTTAAATGAATAAATGATTTAGAATGACACTAAAACTAAACTCTGAATTTTGGTTTAAAATGTAGTGCACATATATAGATAGGATGGAAATATAGCAGCTCACACATTTATGGATTTTTAAATAATTATTTATTGAGTGCTTCAGTTCTTGCTGTGCTGAGTACTCTGGAAGGAAGGTAGTAGGTGGAAATATGTTTGCTGACCACTTGAAATATAGAGTGGGTTTGTTTTCTTGCACTAAAAAACCAAAATACATTTTCAGTTTTTCCTTAACATTGGCATATGTGAGATTTGCATTAGGTCATTTTTTTACATTTTCATATCATTAATTGTCAGCAACTGTTTAACCTCTTGCCATTGAACATATTTTAAAACGTTTTGTCTATCAGATTAAGTAGTAAGTAGAAATCTATTTTGGTAGTTAAGTGTAAATTTACCCATCAGATTTCCGCCCAAATGTTCATGCCTGTTTAATCAACATGAAAGGAACTAGCATTACCACACCAGATTTCCATCAAAAGCAAAGATGCTTGGTGATTCATTAGCCTGTTTGGCTTAAAAATTGAGTATTTAGGGCCGGGGATTTAGCTCAGTGGTTTCACCGCCTGCTGCGCAAGCGCAAGGACCCGAGTTCAATCCCTGGTACCAAAAAAAAAAAAATTGAGTATTTCTTATGTTTGTTAAAAATATATTGACAATTCTTTACGTGTTCTAATTAGCAATTTACATAAACTTTAAAGGCCCTGAGGACCACTATTTTGGGTGAATATTGTTTGATATTGTTTTTGTTGTTACATGAAAACAAGAGTGTCAATATTTGCTTTAATTAGAATGGAAATGTCTAAATGTTTATTATCAGTAAAACTCTGTTGTGATAAATGTGAGATATTAGACTGTATTCACAAGGAATGTCAGTTCAGACTCACATTTCTCTTAAAATTTCCCATAGATCTTGAACCTTCACTGGTGTTGTCGAGGGCAGAAGAGAACTGGGATCTGTGTGTGTGTTTTCTGAACCACCAAAATTCTAATTAATGTGTATGCTTATGTTTCTCAGAAAAAGCGAGTGTTTCTTTTCTAGAAAGTGTTAGATTTGACATGTGAAAGTTGTAGAATATAAATATGTTATGTCATCAGAAATTTGTTCTTACCAATATTTTTGTTTAGTATTGTCACAGGTGTCTCTTCTTAAAAAATGCCAAATTCTCTCTCGCACGCGCGCACACACACACACACACTTTGATAAGTACACGTTATTCTAACTTAATAGTGTGGGATGGGAGACAGTTCTGCTGTTTGGTTTGATTTTTGACCCTTGAGGGCGAGTTGAAACTTTCAGGTCCTTCTAGATAGAAATAAGTTGCGAAGAACTGTTAAAAGATCTATTGAAAAGAAATATTACCAATGGGTTTTCAGTTTTTAACTATTAAAATAGTAAAAATATTTCTTCCTCTTACCAGTCAATTGGCCCAGCACGTCTCAGATTCCTCCTTTCCCACTCCTGTCCTCTGCCTCCAAATTTAGCCTCTTGTGCTCCTCACCTGCATCTGCTGCAGTGGCCTCCAAGCTGCTCTTGCTCTCCGTTGTCACCGTGTTGTAAGCAGCTTCCATGCTGCCACTAATACGATCCTTCCTAAAACTCAAAGAGCACCTTCCCCTTTCAGACTCCTGATTGGTTTACTGTCGAGCTGTGCATGAAGTTTAAACTTCATAGCAGGGCCTAGAGGGCTCTTAGGGTGTTTGTTTACCTCTTATGTCTTCACGTCTTGCCCTTCCCTCTCTAATGCTTCATGCTTTCAGCTTACTAAATTCTATTTCTCTAACATCCTTGCAGCATTTCACATCACTGCTTTTTGTACATGCCCGTCCCCCTTCCCTTTTGTCAGCCTGTAAAATGTAGCTTAGATGTCTTGTTTCTTCTTCTCCAGGAAGGGCCCATTGTTCCCTCCTCTGCTAGACCTGTATTATGTCTGTATTTTGTTTTTAGATTATCCCATTCCAAATTTGCTTTTAGTCTCATCCCACATTGTGAGGTTACTGTATGGATTTGGCTTGACTCAGTATAATGTTGTAGTCAAGAATCAGCACCATGTGTTCCTGGCACATAGTGAAAATTAAGTGAAACTTACTGAAAGTTAGCAAATGTGTTAAAGTTTAAGAAAATCAAGCTCAACTCCAAATGAACTGATCAGGTTGGTAAATAAACAAAGTTTGCTTATGTTATTTGATTTTGTCTTATGTCTCCTCTGTACATATCTTTGTTAATTATAGTCAACCTTATGTATTTATAGGTTCTGTATCTCAGATTTAACCAACCCCAGTTCCAACCAAGCATGGATTAAAAATATTCTGGGAAAAAAATGTGGCTGTATGGAATATGTGCAGACTTTTATTTTCTTGCCATTATTCCCTAGACAATATTGTATAACAATTGTTTACTTAGCATTTACAGTATATTATGCACAAAGAATAGTTTTATAGAATACTACATTTATATAAGGGACCTAAATATCCATGAATTTTGGTACCCACAAGGGATCTAGAAACCAACCTTCTGTGGATATTGAGAGACTGTATTTTATAACGTCAGAAAGATAGTTCAGATAAAGAAAATACATAGTAAAAAGTAGAAATGTTGGTACTGCATTTGAAATGATTTTATGCCTCTCTTTTTCTTATTTGAGATACGGGATTTTTGAACGATGTAAAGAGTTGGTAGAGGCAGGATATGACGTCAGGCAACCAGACAAAGAAAATGTGTCACTTCTTCACTGGGCTGCTATTAACAACAGGCTGGATCTTGTAAAGTAAGATGGGATATATGTGTGTTAATTGTATATTTGTAATTCTGGACCTCTCCTTCAAGTACCACTATTGAAGCATCTGCAATCCTCTTGTTTTTAGTGAACACCTGAAATCTTCTGCCCACAGTCAGTTATAGAGTTGAAGAGGGCCTTAGAGATCATCCAATCCAGGATTCTCATTGGTCTAGAAAAAAGGATTAGAAGAAGCCAAGGGCCCCCATCATAAAGATAAAGGTTAGGACCTGAAAGTGAACATATTTTGAAAAAGGAAAGCATAACATGACAAACTTTCTCAGGATAGAAGAACGTTTCATCTAGTTTAGAGGAATAGATATGTAGGGAATTAAACCTTTTTTTTAAACATTAAGTATGTAATACACTTTTAGGTGGGAAAGTATCAGATTTTATAAAATATTTCCCCTTCATAAAACCCTACTGCCTACTAATTTTTTTGTTTTATACTTTAACATGTAAAATGTGTGCATGTATGTAAGTGTACATAAATTTTCTATTATAGAATTATGTATTTAAAATCCTTGAGGTTTAAAAAAAGGAAAGTTCACTAAGTTTTACAACATTCTAGCACACATTATACTCACAGGCAAATTCCAGGCATATTGTGTAGATAATATGATGCATGAAATATTACTGAAGTAATCCTTCAAACCACAGAAGAGAGTCACTTACAATGTTATAGTTCCACCTTACGTAGTGCATCATTTCTGTGCTCCTGACATTTACAGTTTCTAACATTTATGAAAGGATTTTAAGTTAATTTTTTATCACTTTTGGAGTGTTTCCCCTTGGTAATTGTAATTTGAACTCTTTCAAATGTGACATAATTTCACATTTCTCTTTCTGAGTTACATAGAATATCTGACCCTAAATCCTTTGAATGTAAACTATTTCAAGAGTGCTGTGGTATTTAGAATTGGCAGAGAGTAGTTATTCTGTGTTTGATAGGAGAGTTATAATGGAATGCTAATTACAGCAGGAATAATTACTTACAAGCTAAGAATGTTTCACCAGGGATTTGTCTGATACTGCTGCATAAATTTTGGAGACTTATAGATCTAGATCCTTTATGGAGATGACTATTATAGTATCTTTTCCAACACATCTGTTAACTAAGAAAAAAATATATTTTATCTCAGTATGAATTTTAAGTTACAAATCTCATCTTCATTTGTGTCTATTTTAACAGGTTTTATATTTCAAAAGGTGCTGTTATAGATCAGTTAGGTGGAGATTTAAATTCAACTCCTCTTCACTGGGCCATACGGTAAGGTTTCTTTAAGTGCTGAAATTAAATAACCTTGTGGGTTGGAGGCTACCAAACTGTAAACCACAGTTACAGGCAATTTGAAAGACTTCTTTTCTGGGTTTTTTTCCCCCCCTATGTTTAAAAAAAAAATTACTTTTTTAAAGAATTTCCAGAAAGGATGTTTTTGTTGTTTAATTCAGGGCTCCATTTCAAATATGAGTATTGTGCTTTTTTTATAAATAGGATAAGCAACTTTTATATTTGGACACATGAATAAATAAGTAATTGAGTAAACTATAAACTCCAACAGTTCAGTCTTATGACAGATGCACATTTGGTAACTTACATACTTATCCCATTATTCTTGACAACGTGTCTTTTACTGTAATAAATGTTTTGAAAATTTAAACATTCACTGTATCATTCAATCATCTCCTATAGTTGTAGTTATATTTTAAAGAGAGAGGTTTCCTCTCAAAAGTTTTAAGTCTAAAGCATATCTCTGTATCAGTCATCTCTTGAAAGCTGACACAGGATTAAAAAGAAATTTTGAGTAGCCCAGCTTCTTAGAACATTTACATTGGTTAGTTACTATCCTCTTTTCCCTTATGTATATTGGCCTTCTGAAGCTAAAGGAATAAACATGGATATTTAACAGCTTCTTCTATTATTTTAATTCTGCTCATTGGTGATGAGGTTGACATGAATCTGAAACTAAAATGTGTAATTGTTTGTGTAAGGCAAGGAGTTGAATCTTTTCTCCATAGACAAAGAGTTTTGAGCTACTGAAGTACAGTGCTGTCCATGAAAATGAGCTATATTCAAGTGAAAGAATGTATGGTTCTTAGGATTAGCACAGTGTACCCATGGTCTATGACTATTATACTTCTGTGTATCTGGCTAATGATTATTTTTGTTTTGAAAATAGCAGCAGTGAAGTCTAGGATGTTTTAACATTTTCATTGTTAATATCAGTCATACAAAATTACTATTTACACATGGCAGCAACATAAGGTTTAAGTTAGATTGGGAGGTTGTCAAGTTTATCACTCACCCTCAGGGACCATCCATATAGTTTTAATCTCAGAGCACCTTAATGCAAGACATTTGTACAATCTCCAGTGTTTTAAAAATCTTACTGTTAGGAAATGTCCATTGTATCTAACCAAAATCCCTCAAGTCTTAGGGATATCAGTTTTTTCACAGAATTTCTTCTGTTTTTCTCCATGCATTCTGTTTTGATCTTGTGTTTACAGGCAGGGGCATTTACCGATGGTCATATTGTTACTCCAGCATGGTGCGGACCCCACTCTCATTGATGGGGAGGGATTCAGCAGCATTCACCTGGCGGTATTATTTCAGCGTATGCCTATTATAGCATATCTCATCTCAAAGGGGCAGGTATGTTTCTCATACTCCATATAAGCTGAAGACATTGGGGACATTACTAGTTGTATTATGCCCTCCTTTTAAAAATGAAACTTAGTGGATATCCAGGTAATCAAACATTAGCCTTGGTGGATGTAGCCATTAAATATGCATTTTCAGCTTCACTGGAGGGAAGAGGGCAGGATATTTAGCTCAGCAACATGTAATAGACGTTTCTGAAACTTGTATACCTGTAGTAGTTTTCCTTATCAGCCTAGCAATTTGCAGTTTGTTTTTATTTTTGTTTTGTAAAAACATGACTTTAAAGCCTCTATTTTTCCTCTGGTTGAAAGTACAAATGGTTAATGATCCCTAAATTGACCCATTCATTTGCTTTCATTATTTGAGCTCCAGTAGGGGTCAATTTGAATGTGTGCTTATTGTTCTCAAAGTCATTTCATGGAACATGACTTGCAGACAGAGGTTCAATTGTAGGTTAGGAGCAGCAGGGCGTTTCACTGTCAGCCACACTCACCTGGAGTGTGCTTTCTGGTGACAGAGTAGTTGGTGTGTTAGCAGTTTTGCCTGAAAGGGACATGGAAACATCCTTGTCCAAGTGCTGTCGGAAGGACTGTGGTCTCTTTAAATAAGCACTTCCTCTCAGAGTCAGCCAACTGAAGAAGAATAAATAGGATCCCTGGGCTTCGTTTCAGAAGGACCTGAAAGGAGAGCCCTTTCTGCTTCTCCTTGGGCACTTTCCCAAGTTCTCTTCCTCCAAGGCCCTTAAGAACCTTCCGAAACTGTCCCTCTTTTTCTTTGGCTTGGTTGGAACTATTGACACCTGCAACCGGGACCTGCTTTGTGAAAGGAGCATGTCCTTATGGAGATATGATTTTCTTTTTTGTCTTTATTCAGGAAATAGAAAAGAATTTTTCATGTTAGTCTATTTCAGATTTAATATACTAAGTCCAGAAATTCAAGCAGCCTCTGAAAACAGGGAGTTCATTGCTGGAAGTGTTTAGGCAGAGACTGGATGACTTTGCATAAAAAATAATAGCATGAATTAATGTATTTATTAGGACATAAGCTAGATGATTTTGAAGGTCTCTACATCTCATATATAATGGTAGCTATTCACATTTTGTTTTTTACCCTGTCCTTCATTCAAATTATATAGTACTTTATATCATATATTCAGATTTGCCTTTAGAAATATTTTGTAGAAATCCCTAGATTTTTGCCCTATGAAAATGAAGCAGAACATTTTTTACTTAGGTGCTATTTGAACCCGTCTGTGTAAACAACAGTAAGATAAACTGTGTTTAAAACATATTTCTATGAAGAAAGAGACTATTGATTTGGTTGTGTTGCTGACAGCTGTGTTGCTTGGTTTTTTTTTGAATAGAGTGTGAATATGACAGATGTAAATGGGCAGACACCTCTCATGTTATCTGCTTCCAAAGTAATTGGGTGAGTTTAATTGAATTGCCTCAATCTGATTCTTGTTTCCTAATACTAATAAAAAATTTCCTTACAGAACGGGGAGAGATCCCCTAGCGTACATTTGTTAACATGACTGATATTTCTCCTTTTGCATTTTAAAAAAATGGCTACAAGCTTAAATGTCTTCATAATTTGAAATCTAAATGGTAAATAGGTTTCCCAAAGCCAATAACATTTCAAATTATCTGACATTATTGTTGACTGCTCTGAAGATATTAATTATAACTGGTCAGTGAAAACGTCCCATGTTCGTATCAGACACATATTTAAGTTTTTCTGCATCATGTATAAGTATATATACTTAATGACAATCAGGTAGTCCAGTATCTGGTATTCATCTGTGCAAATGCAGGCTGCAGTTTTTGCTGTCGGTTTGGTTTATTTCCACCTTTGTACCGAATCTCTCATTCTTCTGTTCCATGTGACTTCTTCTAGGAACAGAGTTCATTTTAATGCTGTTTCCTTTTTTCCTAGAGGGGTGGGGGTAGGGGTAAAATTTTGGTAGAAAGTATTTTGTCTTTGGTGCTCTGAAGTCAGGTATATTCTCTAAGTTCTTGACAGAGTTATTAATTAGAATTTTGTGTTTATTGAAAGAATCTCTTAGGCAGTCATGAAAGAAGGGAAGGAATAGATGGGAAAGTGAACATATTTTACTAAATTCTGTCCTCTAGTCCATAGCTTTCTAATATGTGCAGGTATTTTAGGATGCTACAAGTTGTTCCTTGCACAAAATTATTAAAAATAGAACTTCAGGCTATGTTATAAGGTGAATACGAATCATAAATGGATTTCATGTTTAGACTTGGTGTCCAGTCCCCAAAATATCTCATTATGTATGTGCAGATACTAAAACAAAAAAATATCCAAAATCAGAAACATTTCTGGCCCCAAGTGTTTTGGATAAAGGATACTCAACCTGTATTTGTACTTGCATTATTTAATAATCAATTGAAGAGAAAATGTAAAGTTAGCTTTTGGATTAGCTGCTGAAATATAACATTATATATTTAGTTGTTAATTGAGCAAATAGTATAATATTTAATATAAGCCAAAGTTAAATCCACAATTTAAAAAAAATGTTAACCAAGAGTAACATGAAAGTAAGTTTTTTCTTAGTCTTCTGTATTAATGTCTAAATTATGTTTATAGCAGACTATCATTTAATAGGTCTTTTTTTTCATAATCTCTCTTATTAATTCCTAGAGTAGAATTCTTCACAAAGAAATTCCTTAGTTGTTTGGGATACTTACTGATTGATTAATTGATTCGTATGTTCAGAAGATACATTAGTTGTATTCACTCCTTAAATCTTCATCCCTGTTAATGCCTCTTGGTATTTTTTTTTTAATTTTGAGATAGACCAGAACCAACTGGATTTCTTTTAAAGTTTAACCCTTCTCTCAACGTTGGTGATAAAACACACCAAAACACTCCACTCCACTGGGCAATTACATCAGGAAATGTTAATGCAGTTGATAAACTTTTGGAAGCTGGTTCTAGCTTGGATATCCGAAATGTTAAGGTATGGCCAGGTAGTTATCTCCTTTATTTTATTATATCTTCAGTTGGAGGGTTGATAATTTAACATAAAGTTGAGCTGTGTAGAGTAGGAGGTGCAGCCCAGTGGTGGAACTTGCCTAGTGTGCATGAAGCACTGCAAAAAAAAGGCAATGTATTTGTTTTGATTTAACAAGTTAAATATAAACAGTATCAATAGCTGTCTTTAGAATAAATGGGTTTAGTCTGTGATTCTGGAGAAAAATATCAAACACCCATAATATACCAACAATATAATCGAACTTTTCTTTTTAAGGGAGAAACACCTCTTGATATGGCTCTGCACAACAAAAATCAGCTCATTATTCACATGCTAAAAACAGAAGCCAAAATGAGAGCCAACCAAAAGTTCAAACTTTGGAGGTGGCTGCAGAAATGCGAGGTATTTTCATATTGGGCCTATTCCATGGGATATTGGAATGTTTGGTTCATTTGTCTTAAATTTTAGGGCAAATCAGAAAGTTAGCTTTGTGATGCATTGTATCTACTGATTGTATTTTCCTTATGTCCTTCACAACCCAGATTTGGAAATTTAGCATTTCGTTGTATATTTAGCACTGTTCTCACCTAGATGGTGGCTGTAAAGCTACGTTACCTTGTGGATATTATAATCTACTTCCACATTTATTTAATGAGTGAATGGAAATGCAAATGATTTTGATTCTTGGAGAAGCAAAATGAAAAACACATTGTTGCAAGACATTTTATAGACGCCTTTCTTATGGAAGTTTTCCTTATTAAATTTTGTTCTCAAAAGGAAAATAATAACTTTCAAAATGTTTTCTTCAAATCATAAAGAGTAGATTTTTAAACAATGTTGAAACTTCAGGCTTATTATGTCTCTTCATAAAATAAAACATCTGCAATTTTGAGAGATGAAATCCAAATTTTCTCCATTTTTTGAACTTAGCAATTCCTCTGAAGAATGTTCTAAACTTTAAAGTGAACTGATTAATAGAAAAAGTTAGGAAGATCAGCTTGTTCTTATAAATGACTAACAAAATTTAAGTAACAGTAGTGAATATAATTCAGATTGTCTTGGATTGATTCCACAAACATCTCATCTAATAAAAATTAGTAATTATAGCTTCAGAGTGATTCTAAATTAACAGATAGTGGTTTTCTAAGTAGAGGGTCACTATGAATGCTAGACCTGTTTCATAGTTAGGTATGTGAAAGAGGAGGAATAGTAAGGGTACTCCTCAGTCTCCTTTGTCACCTTCTCTACTTTTAACCCTTTTCTTATTGGTAAGATCTCCAAGGATTTTGTCCTTGAACTTCTCTTCGTTCCCTAAGTGGCATCTACAGATTGATAATTCCCGCGTTTATTTCTGCAATCCAGAGCTTTCCAGCCTTATAAGTGCAGTTACCAACTTGACTCATCCTATGCAGGGTCCAGTAGACAGCTCTCACATAACGAGTCAAAACTGAACCCCTCATTGCCTGATTTCTTTCCCACCCTGGCTAAGCCTTCCTCTTCTCAACAGGAAGCAAGTCGACTTTTCTCAATCATACCGCTTATCAAGTTAGCTAGAAAGACATGTAGCCCAGTTCTGCCCTTGACTTCTATCCGGTATCTGACCCTTCTCACTGCTCCTGCCATGCTGTGTCAGTCCAGTGGATGACTCTTTGAAAATATAAGTTGGCTATTATCACTCATCTGCTCAAATTCCTATGATGTCTCCCCATTTTTCCCAGAGTAAAAGCAAAGTCCTTACAATGGCCTTCAAGGTTCTGTGTGGTTCAGCTTTTTATATACTCTGCCATCAAATTCACTTGATACATTTATCTTCCCAGTTAAAATTTAAGCTCAATAGAGAAAGAGCTAAAATTCCTCAGTGTGTACCAAGCACGTAGCATAGTGCCTTCCATCAAATACATGTTGAATGAATAAGTAGTGTGCCTCATCCAGAAGAGTGTTGAATCTGGGATTTTGAGATCCTTATTTAATTCTTTTTTTTTACACCGGGGATCAAACTTAGGACCTTGCGTGGCACCACTAAATCCCCAGCCCGCTTACTTAATTCTTACTTCAGTTCTGAGACTATATTGTTTGTAGAGTCTGAGTTTACTTTTTTTGTACAAAGCTGAGCTTGCTTATTTTATGTCACTAAAGAAATAAGAATTGATATCATTTGAGATTTTCCACTCCTAGATATGCCTTCCAGAAACAAAAATGGAAGGATTTAGGGCAAAATACATGTTTTTTCTCTTTGTTATTATAAAGTCCTGCTTGTTTTCAAGGCCTCATGTCTTATGGTTAAAGGACTGCATTGCACAAGTGTGGAACATAGTTTCCCTGCAGACACACTGTTGGTTCAGAGAACTTTCATTCTTTTAACTTCATCAAAAGAAACATGAATTATTAGAATCCCAAGGACATATTTCAGTCTTTGACTTCCTTGGGATATTTGGCATCAAAAGCCACTCCCTGCTTGAAACTCTTTCCTGGCTTCTCCTGAAACCTGCCTTTCCCTGGGTTTTCCTCCTGCCTTTCTTTCTGGTTACCTTTGGAGACCTAGCTTTGTTCCTAACCTTGAAAGTTTGTATTGGCCAAGATTCTGCCTTTTCTACTGCACATATCTGTAGGATGTTGTTCACTCATGATTTCACCACCAGTGTTCTGACAAATCTCATCTTTGCAAGTGGTAGACTTGCTTTCTTAACTGAATTCTGGATACCTCCTGGATGTCCTGAAGGATTTAAAAATCTGCATACCTCAAACCAAGCTCATGTTTTTGCATAATTTTTCCTTGTAGCCTTCTTTATTGGGGAGTGGCACTATCTGGTACCTAGGTTGGAGCTCTTCTAGTCCCTGTATTCCGTCTTGGGTATATTGATTTTTGTGCAGTTTGCTTAGCTTGCTTTGTGGTTTCTGATATAGAATATCATTTCAAAGAAATTATTTTTTTAAATTTTAGTTTTAGTATATGTGCTGCTGAAGTGAGCACAAAATTTTAGTTTTATTAACTCTATAAAAGATCACAATTTCTTAGGGGGAAGAATAACGAAATACAATATGTTTAACATTTTATGAAATGTACAGTTTTTAAAAGATTGTTTTAAAGATGTGTGAATTGCTCAGATTTCAACTTTATCAATCTGCAGTTTTGAAAAAAAACTTAATTATGCTGTTATTATTATTTACTAAAGAAGTAATTCTTGAACTCAACTAATTATCATTACATACTTAGGTGAAAACTCATAAAGTTCTAAAATTCTGAATCTCTTAATAGCTCTTCCTGCTGCTGATACTCTCTGTGATTACCATGTGGGCTGTTGGATACATACTGGACTTCAATTCAGATTCTTGGCTCTTAAAAGGATGTCTTCTAGTAACATTGCTTTTTCTGACATCTTTGTTTCCAAGGTGTGTATATTAATTTTCCAAGGTGGGTTATTCCCTTTCCAATGTAATTGCTTATTTCTCTTGTTGATTAGCTGGAATCACAGATTTTTATTGGGCTATAAATATTTCTTAACCACATAACAACATCCACAGGGTGGGGAGAAAAGGACTTTGGTAACATATTTTTTGATTGTAAGCAAATTGCTCGACTCAGTAATTTGCTTAAATTGAGAACTGGTAGAAAATCAATATCCTGGGTCACTGTTTGAATTGTTAGTTTTGTTGAATGATGAGAACACCTTTGTAACCATTCTACCTCTTTAAGCATTTTTGCCCATTTTTCAGAAATTTTTTGCTTTTCTTTTTTTAAGTTCTAAATTCATTTTGAGCTAGTTGTTTTTGCTCTTAATGATTTTTTTCGCCTAGTACTGGAGATGGAGCCCAGGGACTTCACACCAACCACATCCCCAGCCCTTTTATTTTTTATTTTGAGACCAGGTTCACTATGTTGCCCAGGCTGGGCTTGAATTTGTAATACTTCTGCCTCCTTCTCCCAAAGTACTGACACTGCAGGTGTGTACCACAGTGATTCGCTACTGTCAATGATTTTTAATTAAAATGACCTAATTAAAATGGAGGAGGCCAGGAAATAGTAAATATGGTAAGGCCCTATTTTTAGGAAAACACTTACCATGATTATATATAGTTAATAGTGAGGAGCCAGACTGCCTGGATTTTAACACGTGGCCATCTGATCTTGAGCAAGCTGCTTTCCTTGCCTGGGTTTCTTCATCTATAAAACAAGGATAGCTGTTGTGATAATTCCTGCCTTGCGCTTGATACACATAAATGCTCAGGACGATGGCTGACACGTAGTGACCATTTCATGGCCCAAACTCTCCTGCTTCCCTATGGCAGTGAAACGGCATCCAGTTCCTCACGCGAGTAAGGGTGTCACCGTTGGTTCTTCCCTCTCCCCTCTCCCCATTCCTAGCCCATTCCGAGCATTCCTCTTCTGCCTCAGTTGGTCCACCTCTGTCCATCTGCTCAATAGGCACCCCGGCCACAGCCTCCAAACTGCTCTCTGGACTTCAGTCGTACAGTTTTGCTCCCCAGCCCCAGCAGTCAAGGCAGACGAGTTTCTGTCTTCTCCCTGCTTACCCCCGCAGTCGGCGGTTGGCTCCTGCGAGTGTCCTAGCCTGAAGCGTGCTGACACTGTCTTTGCATAGCTGGGCTCGCATCTCACCTCCCCAGGCGGCCGTCCCTGAGTGACTCCGCTGTACTGCCTGCTTTATTTGTCTTCACAGCACTCACGTGCCGAATTGTGAGGCCCAGAAAAGTGAGAGACTTAGCTCTGCTCTAGAACACTTTCATTCACTGAATGGAAAAAAAATGTGACGATGAAGACCCATAGAAAGAATCTGAAAGGAAATACAGTGTTGCTCCTGGAGGGTGTGATTATGAGTATTCTGAGTATTACTAAACCCTTCTTTGGCCTGTCAGCCTTTTCTGGAATAGACATGCACCACTTTTGTCATGAGGGAAAGCAAAGTATTACAGGAATCTGATTATTTGGTCATCTAAGACCTGAATAGTTGGATACAACCACATTCATATTTAAATGTAAAGTAAAAGCTCACATTTCTGAAAATAGCAATATATCTAAAATTGTCTGTTATTCAGAAAACTTGTAACTTGAAAATATTCATTTTGAGCCAAGCATGCATGCCCATAATCCTAGCACTTGGGCGTTTGAGACAGAACAGTTACAAGTTCAGGGTCGACCTGGTCTCCATGGCAAGTTTGAAAGTCAGCTTGGAACCTAGTGAGCCCCCTCCCTGTCTCAAAACAACAACACAAATTATTGCCCACCAATTGAATTGCCTTGGTTTCTGAATAGATTTTAAGCTAAATCACCAGGAATTGCTTTTTTTTTTTCAGAGAGAAAGCAGGGGTTGGTAATACCTACTCGACTGGAGATTTTGTTTTGTTATTTTAGGTCAAACCCAAGCAATAAAAAAAATTAAATGAAAAGTTTGGATTCTGATTTTGAAGAGAGCTAGCTACGGGCTTCTGTGGCATGCTTGACACAGGCATGATTCAGTGGGAGTCGGATGCATTTGTCATTCTTACCCAGACTGCCCGATTTCTGTCCCACTCCCGCTCCTCTGTAGAGTCCCAGTTTTAGGGTCCTAAGCAGCTGCAAACTGGGGCAGTTGTTTATTGACCTAGCTTGCCATACACATGGTGCCTGCCGGAAGTTGTCAGGTAGAAGCAGTAGACACTTACGAATTAGATATTCAGTTCACTACATGTACCTGATAAGGCCAAATGTGGTTTTTACCACAAAATCTTAGGCCATGTTCTGGAGTTTGCATGGACTCCATTTGGCCTGTTCCGGCAGCGTGTAAGTGCCTGAGGTTAGACTCTAGTCTCTCTCAAATGGAATTCTGTCCTCATTATGGTCGTGGTCCCGATAGCTTTTTACAAACCCTTTGTACTCACTCCTAAGCATTGTGTTTTCTGGTCTAAATTTTACAATGTATACAGGTAAACTATACTCATTCATAAGGTGACTATATTGAGTATTTGACGTGAAAGATTTCTTAAATTTTGAAATTACAGTATTAAGATATTTTGAGTTGCCTGTGGCCCAAGTGAGTTCGTTAGTGTTGTGAAAACTAGTTTCACTTTTAGCCTTTGTGTCTTTTCTCATAGTGACTGCTTCTTGGGTTTATTACGGACGAAAGTGCTTAAATTATATATATTCATACACATATAAGTAATCTCTGGAAAAAGCTTGTAAAAATGTGAAAGTGAATCTCCAAGTGTGTAAACTTTTGTATTTCAGAATGTTTAAAAATGTGCTGTGCAAAAAAGAGCTACAGAATGGTGTGTCTTAATAGAAATGCAGAAGATTCATTGAAAATATACATTAAGTTATTGTGAATGAAATAACATAAGTTCCTTGAGCGCCATTGTATTTTGGTTTTCTTATGTGAAAAATGTGATAATGACAGTGACATATAATGAGCACTCAGGAAGCGAAAGCTATTGCTGTTGCTGCAGTTACCATTATTCTTATTATTACTATCATTATTACTTAGGAGGACTTTGAACTGAAATTAACGTGAGTCATACTAACACCTTATTTCACTAATACCTTATTCCCATCCTTTTTCTTTTAGGTTCTTGGTCGGATATAAGAACCTTGTATACATACCCACAGTCTTTCTACTAAGTTCCATATTTTGGATATTTATGACTTGGTTCATATTATATTTTCCTGATATCCTTTCAACTTGAACTCAGGTGCATATCTCATTTTACCTTTGAAAAATACCTTTTAAAAATACCATTTAGTTTTTAGACATTGGAGAAGATCTAACTTACATTTGCATTCATTTAGTGGTTTTGGTTGAATGTTTAATGTTGAAAATCTATTTGATTCTGAAAGTAATGTCAGCATACTATGGAAACAGTAGGTATCTAGTATTTATTACTAACCAGAGGAGAACAGTACAATGAATCATTACTTTACTTGGACCCATAATAATATGTTGGACTGTTCTGAGATCTCTTCAAGGTCACATGATTCTTTTTACTAGGCCAGCAGTTACAAGGGATTACTAGATCTTCTGGTTACCGAGATGCTGCCTAGGAGGGCTTGATGGGGAAACACTTCCTCCGTAATGGTAAGCGGCAGGACTAGCTGTTACCTAAGGCAGTGATTCCCGGTCCACAGCAAACATAAATTTGCCTTGCCACTCAAAACATATGTGCTCCAAATATGTTCTTTTCCTTATTTTATCCTGTTTCCTTTTTTTTTCCAAGATTTTTTTTTTTGGTACTGGGGATCGAGCTCAGGTTCTTGCGCTTGCGAGGCAGGTGGCGGAACCACTGAGCTAAATCCTCAGCCCCTATCCTGATTCCTTTTTTTTTTTTAAAAACATCAAGGCTCACTTTATTTTGACCCAGCCATGGTAAGCACTCCTTTTTATTTTTTTGGTACCGGGGATCGAACTTGGGTCCTTGCGCTTGCACAGCAGGCGGTGAAACCACTGAGCTAAATCCCTGGCCCCTATCCTGATTCCTTTTTAAAAAATTCTTTTGTGACCTAAATGAGTGGCAGCTCATGGTTTAAAAAGAACACAAAACCTCTCATATCTAAAGACTAGGTTTATTGCTTGAGGATCAGGGCCCGAGTCTAAATCCTACTCAAGGCTGTGTGTTCTTCTTAAGGTTGGCCAAGTCCAGTAAGCTAGAGGTGGAGAAGGCGATTGCTTCTTGGATTACAGCAATTTCTATCTTCAGTTAGCTGGAGACATTTTCAGTCTTCCCACCTCTTTCCAGACTCCCTTCTTGCCTCCTAGTACCCTGCCTTGGAAGTCATTATCATGGAGAGGAAAAGGAGTGTAGTCAATAGAAAAGCACCTTCTAACGTATTCCTTTAACTCCTGTGTTATTTCTCTGTTGATGACATTTCCAAAAAGAAGTCTCAATTGAATAGATACATAAACGCGAAGAATATTTTTCCTTAGGAATAAATGTGAAATGAGCTAGGCATGAACTTTCAGAAGCCATACTACCTCTACATCCATGATAATGCTTTTGCTATGGTGTTGCTTTTTATTTCTGAGTATTGTCTGTAGTATTTTTCAGATTCCTTTAATCTAAATGAATAGTACAGCATACCAGGGAGGTCATTAGGCTTTTTTCAAAAGATTTATTACCTTTAACCTTTGTCTCATAATTACTGATTTGGTGGCAGCTTTGTAAACACTAGACTTCTCAACATTTAGTAAAGGCTTAGATGGTGTTAGACATAAAATTACTGTATAAGGAACCAGGAGTACATCTAGTAACAGCAAAATTTGTACCAGAAACATTGTAGAAGACCCAAGGCTCCTAAGTTCCTAGAGTGAAGGACATGATACTGAAGGGATGACTGATACTTTTTGTTTACCAGCTGTTTTAGTCATCTTCTCAACACTGAGACACACAATGCCCAGCACCCACAATTTAGAGAAGTTTATTTTGGCTCACATTTTTAGTTCATAGTTTTAGTCGACTGACTCCGAGGCAGGAAGGCATGGTGGAAGGGCAGGAGCAGAGGAAATCCTCATGGTACCCAGGAAGCAGAGAGAAAAGGGAAGAACCAGGGAGGAGGTTACACCTTTCCAAGTCACAAGTGACTTGCCTCTTCCCACAAGACCCTACCTCCTAAGATGGTATTTACCTGTAGGACCCCCATGATTCGACCATCTTTCAGAAGCCCCACCTATGAGTACATGAGACTTTGGGGGAACATCTGGCTGTAATCCGTAACATACGTCAGTGGAGTGGACAGTTTTTAAAATTGTGTTTTTGATGAATTTTTAAAATTTGAGCAACTTAGATTATTTCAAATTTTGCACAAGAAGTGAGATCGTCTTCATATTGAATTAGTTCTGTTTTGCAGAATTAAAATTAACAAAAATGTAACTTCACTGTAGTCTGAACACTTCAGTTATGAAAGTTAATGTTCAATTGAGTGTAATTAGAAACTGCTGTGGTTTTGTGAAAGTGCTGTTCTATCATAGACTAATTACCATAGCTGGACAGAATCTTATGGTGTTGGCATTGACAATTTGGCTTAAACAGCCTAACGCTGTTTGATACAGGCTGCTGCTGAGGGCATGTGAGTCAGTAGGTGGCATCGTTCACCATCAGATCAGCGTTTCTCAGGCTGAGTGGTAAAAGCTGTCACAACTGTCTGGAGGTGAACCGAGGTGCTGCCCATCCTCAGTATTCAGGCTGGGCTTTCCTCAGATTTCTAGCCACGTCAGGATGGAGTGGGGGCCTGCGATCCCACAGCCTCTGACCTATCATGGGAAGAGTCTGGGTCCCCTAGAAAGCACATGGCTTTGGAATAACAGAGTAACACTCCATCTTGACTTTTCTTCCACTAATTATGTACCATCGCTCAAGTTTCTTCATTTCACTGAGTCTGTTTTTCCGTAAATTGGGGATAACAGTACCAGGCTCATGGCGCGGCTGCAAGCATTACTATGCGGTGCCATCTCTAAAGGCCTGGCTATAATCCCCATTACATAACTGGCAGTGTATAAATAATATTTTATTATGATTTACTGGTCTGTGGAAGGTTACAGGTTGAAACTAATTTTAAGGACACCTCTAGGTTGGTTCCTCAGATGAATTTCTTTCAGTGCCTTTATATATTCAACAAGCAGTGTATTTGGCTTTTATGAGGGGGATTGAGTGACAAAGAGTAGGACCTTACTGATGCGTTTGGAGATATGATCCAAACTCAGGAAAAAAAAAGTGAATCACTGAATGTTACATTTATGATTACTGAGTTATGTTGAAGAGGAATAAACACATGTAAAGTCCTGTCCTCAACTTCAGAGGATCCGCCATACAAGTCTGTATCACAAGGAGGCACAGTATGGCTTTAGGTCAATTGTAAAAAAAAATGAGGAGCTTTGACTGAATGCCCAGTGTGGCTTAATGACTCAGCTATCAAGGAAACCAGGAAGTTCTCAGAAAGTTTTATAGGAATCCAAGGGTCCAAGCAAAGGATTGTCCTCTGTACCAGTCAGTGCACTGCTGACTCTTGAATTCTGTTCTTGTAGAGATAGCAAATGGAAATAGGCGCAGAGGAACGTGGAGTGAAGTGTCAGGAGCAGCATTGCTGTTGTCCTGGAGATTTGGCCACCGCCTTGCCGTTTCAAGTGTTTGGAAATCTATCATTTGGAAGCCAGTAAACTTAGGGGATAGGCATGCAATAAAAATTTAATTGAACAAATGAGTAAGGCTTATGTAGGGTAAAACTGAAAGACAGTTGTAGTCACATCTAAAGGATCCGGTGAATGAAAACCACTGGTCAGAGTTCTAGAAGGGCAACTTACAGCTTCATATTGAGACATTTGAACTGCAAAAGCGTTACCAGCTTGCAGGAGACTGACACACCTATAAATAACTATAGTCTAAGGTCGAAATCCCATAGAAATCATTCCCAGCTTCAAGGAGGGGAGAGGGTCCTCTCCAGAGAAGCAGGAAAGACTTAAAAGGAGAAGGAGAAGAAGGTTAATTCTTGCAGGCAGTTGGGACTTGGACAAACTAAAAGTGTGGCTTTAGATTGAAGAAGTAGAGAGCTTTTGTGTCAGTGACCCACCTAAGCAAGGGCATAAAAGCAAGGAGTGACTTTGCCTTTTATATGACCGAGGAGAGTTAACGAGTTGAAAGGAGGACCCAGTGATCTCCTGGGATTTGTTTTATAAGTTATTCATGCAGGAAACCCAAATCCAGTGAGCTCACTATGCAGGATCACCACATAGTTTTGAGAATATATCGTGTGTATCAATCAGGACTTCATGGAAAAAATGACATGTGATTCTTTAACAAAAGATTTTACTCTGTGTAACCTTTAATAGTGCCCTTCCTAACTTACTCTAAGTACATTTTGTTAAAATTCAATTTCATACATCTCTGGCCCCTGTGTCTTCTGTAAAGCCAAGCCCACATCAGATAAACTGTGATAAACTAAGCCATCAAGGTGTGTTCCTGTCTATCTGACCTAGATGGGGCTCTGCTCATCTTTGTGGGGTAAAGCAGTGCTTCTCAGATTTGTACATGCACCCTTAGGGATCTTGTTAAAATCTGCAGTCTGGTTCTGTAGGTCTGGGGGAGGCTGAAGTTCAGCTTTTCTAACAAGCTGTTGTTGCAGGTCTGTGGACTACACTTCGAATAGCAGAGGTTTAGAGTCTATTTCAAGGCTTCCTTTTCCACTCTGAAGTTTGACGCAAGATTGCTTAGCAACACCTTTTGAGGGAGATACAGTTACTGTGTCAATAATAATTTAAACTGGGCAAGGACTGTTGGCTTACTACTGGTTTACTGATTTTTTTTTTTTAATGTACTCTCATTTGTCTTTACCTGGAGCAGAATTTTACTTTTTATACATAGAATTCATACACTTTTTATCTTAATTTATCCATAATGTGTTTTTCCCACATAGAAGGTGATTTGTGATCATTTTGCAAGGAAAGCAGTTTCTTAAATTAACTCAACCTAAAACAATTACAAGAATTACTGAACTTACCAGTAGGAAATTTTTGCAAGCATTTATCTACTGTATAGGGAAATGTTTTTAGTTCAAATCTGAACCAAGTAGTCTGTTTCCTTGAATGATTTTGTTAAAAATGATCAGGGAATATTTTTCTGGATGCTCACAAAAAAGCCAGTTATACCATTAGAGGTAAATTTATTTTGTTGGATGCTTTTCAGTCTTTAGGATGTTCTTTAGTTTTTTGGGTTTTTGTTGGTACCGGAGATCGAACTCTGGACCTTGTGCTTGCGAGGCAGGCACCAGAACCACTGAGCTAAATCCCTGGCCCTAGGCTGTTCTTTATAAATTGCAACCATTCTTATTAATGTTTAACGTGAGTTCCAACCAATAAGAAAGCATTCATTATGAGCCAACTAGGAGCAAACTCCCCAAGGATTAGAACATAGGATGGTGCCATCTTTTGGCAGGGGCTTCGATAGGGATATGGACACGAAGCTGGGGACAGGGTGCTGGAAAGAGAACTTCTTAGGCACCAGCGACAAAATGTGCTTGTGTCCTGATTATGTCCTCTGTGGAAGTTTGACATATTCCTTAACCTGGCTTGCACATATGGCAGGCCCCCCTTTCTATTTCGTCTTCCTTTTCAGCTTAGTAGCCTTTCTCTACTTCTTCTACAAGACTTGGGCAACTGATCCTGGCTTCACTAAGACTTCTGAAGAAGAAAGGAAAGTGGTGAGTTTTTTGCTTGCTTTGGGTGTGTTTTAAAATCAGGGTATGTAAACTTCAGAAAATCATAGCCATGTTAGCTTTTGTCATGGCCGGATCTCTAGTGCAGGCCATCGTAAGTGCAAGGTGATTGACTTTAACAAAACTGAGATTTCTTCAGTTATTCTTCTTTCATTTATATACATATATCTATGTTTTAAAAATATTTTTATTTTCTATAAAGTAATTGCCCCACCAAGACTTTTAGATTCGACTTTGTCATCATACATGATCTTCTTCCTTGTTGCAATATTTAAACAAGTTATTTAGCTCAGATTTCCGCACTTAGTACATGGAGACCAGCTAGGCAGGGACCAAGGGCATTCCTTCTCCTTAGTGACTGCGGAGACCCTCCTCTTCTTCAGATGTGGGCTTGTCCAGTGACATGGCACGCTCTCCATTTGTTCATGAATGTTTAGAAATGGGAGAGTGCTGTCTTTTGTTACCTAAAGCCAGCGTTCCTGAAAGACTTGGCCTTTGGCCCTTGCTGCTTGTAACTAAAGGGTTTTATGAATACTGGTGACTTTTCCCTTTCTGTTGAGTGTGTGTATGCACGCATTCATTTTCCCCTGGTAGACTATAATTGGGAGATGTTTTCCATTCATGAGGAAAAGGTGTTGGGGGTGCTGGGATACATAGTTTTTATGCAGTCACTTTATTGGCCATTGACTGAAAATACACCCTTGAAAAGTCACTTTATTTCAAGCACAGAATGCTTTGGTGGCAAGCATTCCAAGTTGCTTTTCTAGCTACTTAAGTTAGGAGTGAGAGCTCTGAGAATGGTACATAAGCATGCATAATCCATTCCCCAATAAAATGCAATCATAAGGTCAGACTTCGTGTCTTTCAGAATATCATCACCCTTGCAGAAACTGGCTGTCTGGATTTCAGAACATTTTGTACATCATGTCTTGTGAGTATTTTCTGTGTAATTTTTTTGTTTTCCATAATAAAAGCGTAATCTTGATAACATTACTCATGTAAGCATCTGTCAAATCTTCACGGTATATTTATACACTGTTTTGGTTCAACCAAGTCTAATTTTTTATTACTGTCAGAACATTTCCTGCCTTCAACATTTGGGAGAATATTTATAATCTTATGAAGTTGCCTATGGTAAAATCTCTATGAATTTTCCATAGTGTGTTTTGTTTGCTTTTCTCTACCATGAAGCGCATGTTAGAGCTGACTTCAAATCAGAGGCTTGTAATGACCTAGAAACCACTTAGTAAAACCTCTTATTTGGTAATTGAGGGATCAGAGCCTAAAAGGAGGAGGTAAATTTCCCCAGGTCATTGTAGGTGCCAGAAATGGAACTGGGGCTTCGTTTTTCTTAGTCCAGTACTCGTTCTGCTTTATGCCACTGCCTCAGTTCCCCTGAGCCACAGAGAATAGGCTCTGAAATTCAAATCGCCCTTAGTGATGGTTTAATCAGAGTACACATACAGAGTGAATTCTAATGAGATATTTCAGAGCCTTTGTGTGAATGATCATCTATTTAGGATTATTTGTGCTGGTGTCTTTACAACCTAGCATTAAAATTTTGCTTATGATTTGTTGCTTTGAGACACTGAATTTTGCTTAGCTCTCTCTTAATTGTGCTCTTAGATAAGAAAGCCATTAAGGTCATTCCATTGCCATGTGTGCAACGCCTGCGTAGCTCGGTATGATCAGCACTGCGTGTGGACTGGACGGTGCGTAGGTGAGAAATTTAATTTTTCAGTCACCGCTCTGAAGTTCAGCATATGTTTAGCTTGGGTGACTCAGAAATCAGAAGGGCATTCAAGAGCTCCATTTGTTCTATTCCTTGTCTAAGAATCATCTGTATGGTATAAGACTTTTGGAAAACCGTTCAAGTTGATAATGACAATTTTTATCATTTGTGTAGTATTTTAGACTTTACAAAACACATACAATATCCAACTTGAGCATCAGAGCACACCTGAGGTTGGTGTTATTGTCTCCATTTTAGAGCTGCAAAGGTGTAAAAGGTAAAATTATTTGCTTAAGGTCACTGTAGTAGTGTCCGTCTTCCCCTCCACCTGTGCTCTTTCCATATGTCGTGACCTGGCTGTGATGTTCATCTTTTCCACTCGCTTCCCTCACATTCAAATAGGAGCTGGAACCAGAGATGCAAAGATCTGGGCATTGCCTTCCAGCCAGGAAATATCCCTTTTCTTGACCTGCAGCCCTGAGTTTCCCCTGACCCATCACAATAAAAGCCAAAGGTTTGGTGTGAGGAACTTTGGAAGAACTGTGATTGAGTCTTCAGGAGGCTGCCTTACCTTAGCTCAGGCAGTCTTCCTGGTGCATTCCAGTATTCCTTACTCTTCTTAGAGAAAGGTGACTAGGTGATTCCTGGAGTCCCAAGCTTTTTGTACTCCATCCCACCATGAGGATTAGATAATTGGCAGCATGCATGGCATTGAATGGCAGCCAGCAAACAACAGCAATGAGCCATTTAACAGTGTTGTGACGTGCATCGTCCTGTTTGGTTGGTAGAGGCCTATGAAGTAGAAGAGGTATTATCTCCATATTATAAGTAAGCATGCTAAACCAGAGAAAGTAAAAGTCTTAACCTACAGTGACATAAGTAACAATCCATAATAAGCCTATTAATCTATAGAAAACCTGTGTCTCTTAATTCTACTGGGCATTGCTCCTTTTGCTGATCTTTGCTGCTTCAGGAGAAAATGGAACTGTGATGTGGTACCTGAAGAGCATTTGTCATTAGCATTGAAATGCTTCCATCTCCAGCATCAAGAAGGCCAAAAGGCAGCTTGTACAAGAAAGGGCTTGGTTGTCTGACCCTTTTTTCCCTTCTGCAGACTTTGCATGACATAGATTTCTCCCCTTTACTATGCCTAGTTTCCTGCATTTATATTTCTGTGTGTGCGTGTGTGTGTGTGTGTGTGTGTGTGTGGTGTGTTGCTGCTCCTTAAATTTGTTCCCTCTGTTCCTTTGATCAAGTCAGTCTTCAATAATCAGAAGTTACACTCACTCACATGTTCCATGAAGGAAGGAAGAGACAGCATGATTTGTCCATACCTTTGCCTGCCTATCCCTCCAATGCAGAGTAGGCCAGCCTATACCTATGTTTGCTTAGTTAACTTTTTTCTGTTCAAACAAAATATCCTCTTTTAGTAAAGGGGAATAAATATTAGTTAACATGGATAATTGACTATGACATGTCAAAGATGTTTGGTTTGGGTTCAGTATTTAAAAGCAAAGCAACAGCCTTGTTTCTGTTCTACTCTGATGAATGCTTTCGACAAGAAACTGGTTAATAAGCTCTTATCTGGAAGTCATTATAGGAAAAATAAAATAAAATGTTTTCTTTCCTTTTGGTTTAGGTTTTGGCAACCATCACTATTACATATTATTCTTGTTTTTCCTGTCTGTAGCATGTGGCTGGATTATGTGTGGATCTTTCATCTGTGAGTATAGATTTTTCTTACAAGCTCATGCACCCACACCTAATTCTACTATTCCTTGTAAGCCCTTGCCATTCTGACTAGGCAGCTATAAACCTTACCTCTAATAAAAACAAGCTTATGCTCTAAGATTCTCTCAACATTGGGAAGCTTCAAGAAATACTAGAAGAGATTCTTAGTACTTCAGAAGAGAACCTTGATAAATTTGAGGACTGGTCAAAAATAGAAATTCATTTAAGACAACTATAGATGTGTCCCCCAGTGAAGAGCAAAAGCCAACTGCTTGAGTAAAATCCAGAGGGAATAAGTAAATAAAACAGAAAAACAAAGGAAAGGTCGATGGTGGAGAGGTTGACCGATGGTGGTCACAGTAAATTAAGGAACAAAGCTCTGAAAGCACATTCCACTTGATAAGTATCAAGTTGAAACCCAGAACTAATGGGAAAACTGTAACAACTGAAAGGTTGGAAATAATAACTTGGGAGAAAACATTAGATTGCTTATTCTGTAGCCCTGAAAAAGAAAAATAACTTTCACTAGCAATTTAAAAGGTGTCTGGGGGTGCTGTGTAGGGAGTGATGGCCAGCTAGCTGCACACGGCTATCAACTAAGGACAAGGTTTAAATTGAGGTGAGAAGCATTGGGCTTAGCTCTTAAGAATTACACGGCCACGCTTCTCAGACCTGGAATAGGTTACCTAACTGGAAAAACTTACAGTGCTAGTAGTTTATTTCTTTGGACTTTAACTATCATTTATTCATTCTGAAGGACTGTCCAAATTTAGATGCAGAGTCTCCACTTCTAATCTGTTTCCATTAACCCTTCTGTTCGTTACCAGTAGAGTACTAACTTGTTGCCTAAACTGAAATCCACAGGAAGACAATTACAAAAAGTTTATCCCTGTATTTTTTTCCCTCCAAACAGTCCAATCCCCAGCACTCTTAAGCACTCTCTCTCTCTCTCTCTCTCTCTGTCCCTACTCTATGCCACCCCAGTTTTTTTTAAATATAATTTTTAGAAGAAAATTTATTCAGTGCGTGTGCTCAGCCTCCTGGTTCCCTTCCCGAGAAATAACCAGTGTTACCGACTTCATTTTGTTTGAGGTTTTATGTGTAGAGATTTTAGTATCTCTCTGAAAGGGATTACTTTTTGCCCTGACATAGGCATGGAGAGGACTTAGTCAGCTTGTCAGACCCTTTCCCACCTGACACGTTAGGTATTTGAGCTCTAGGAAACACTTTGTAGCCAAATGTGACCAGTAACCCTAAACTTTACTAGAGTTTTTAAACCTTAGATTATATCTTATGGCATAAGAAATAAAAGATCTTTGACAGTGTTTCTGAGAGAGGTGCCCTTTTAAGGCCCAACAGTTAAGCATATTCTTAGAAAACCTTTCAAAGTTGGCCCATGGACTAAGTCTGTCTCTTGGACTTGATCCTAGGGGAAAGGAGCCAGATTTTACACCACTCTTGTCTCTCGTCTTCCCTCTCCTCACTAAAAATAGTCTCTCCTGTTTGGTGTCTGTTTCCATCATAAGACTATTGATAAGAACAGCCACAATTTTCCATCACATTCAGCCTTTCCAGGCTCATTTTCTGTTACATTTATTCCTTCCTCTTCTCTGTCTTTCTCTGGCTTTGAACCAGCTTTCATACTATATTTTGCTTTTGAAGAACAGCCCCACCTTACACTGACTTCCAGCTGTTTAAACCAGCTCAACCTTCTTTATTTTTATATTCTACAGTTTTTTTTCTTGCATTGAATGAGGGCATCCTGTTAGCTGTGTTATTTCAGACAGGAAGCACGAACATGCCATTTCTCTAACAAGACCTCAGTGTCGTTCCTCCACCTTGGTTTACCACTGACGCCCTTACCTCCAGAGACCTGCTATACGCCCTCCTCCTCACTGATTGAACCGAAGTTCCTTCTGCCACTCCATCCACTTCATCTCTTGTCAGGTCTATTTTCAGGGTGGACAGCAAACGAATCAGAAAGCATCAGCATCCTACAAGTCACAGGGAGAAAGGCATTAGATCAGTATCAGGAAGAACTGTGCTACTCCCAGAGCAGTTACACAAAAAAGATGAGAACAGTTGACTTGACTAGGAACATTAACCACTGAGTACTTGATAAGAATGTATTAGACAAATTAAGGTATTATATTGCAAAAGATAATGTGGACAGCCACTGCAGTCATGTCTTTGATACAGAATCGGAAATCTGTATTTCAGGGTGAACTTCAGTATCAGGTCATGCTGTGTTATGAAAAGAATCCCCAAATGGGAGCAGTAGGAATCCATAAACTGAAAGAAACTAGATATTCTTTCCCACTAAACAGCTATTTTCTCTACGTGCTGTTAGAAATTTATTCTTTTTTGTGGTATCAGGTGCATTGGATGCATCTTTCTTTGCTGTCCTGATGAGAGTATAATTTGCCTTCACTTGTTATCATAATTATTACCCTGTGGTGATTGCTCTTAGAATGGTTTGGCATATATTCATGAATCAAATGAGACTCACAAAGGAGGAAAACAAAATAGGTGTTCAGGACTAAAATGGACAGAGAGTTGATAGTAGCGTCATGGACTCATTTTCTTCCTGTCCCAGGAGCTCTGTGGTGCTGCTTTGGGGAAATGTCTGAAACTAAGCAGATTGTCGGATAAGTAGCTTTATGAAACCTCAAGGCTCAAATCTACAGAATTCTCATTTCAGAAACAATTCCCTATATGCACAATCATCCTGCCTCTAAAAGTCATAACCTTGAAGATCCGTTCCTGTTTCTGCTGCTTCCCTCCCTGCTGCTCCAGGCTGCGTGGATTAGTGGGTCACCATCACGAACCATAGAGAAGTCCTCTCTTTTAATTGGCATCTGGTGCTACCAGGGAGAAACTGAGCCGGGAGCATGGAAATCTTGTTCTTTCTTTTCCTGGATTTGTCTGTCTCCAGAAGTCCCTTCCCCATCCCTTCCCCTACACACAGTTAGTTACGGTGTCAGTGCAGAGGTGCACCCATGCCTGGCCCCTGCATGCTGCAGGGCTGTGTTCTAATGGTATCCAGGCACTTGTGGGATGTCTCTTGCCCACAGCAATCACCTGTGCATATGAACCTTTAATAAAAGTTCATATTGAGTCCTATAGTGGACCTATAACTTGATGTAACATGAACAAGATAGATAATTTTCTAGGGCAGATATTTCATTAAATATAATCATTCTCAATTGCCAAGTCCTTCAGTTCTGGCCAGTGCATTTCAGGCCGGGTGTGCTGAGTTCAGTGAAGGTTTTATGGGTTTCTGCTTTTATTCCTTCACTGTCAGCTGCTGCTGTGCCATCACCATGCTCTCCTGGACACTGAAGCCCCACAGTCTCATCTTTGTAATCGAGCTCCATCTGGAAAATAAACCCCTAAATCTGAATTCCTGCTTTGGGTTTTTGTTTTGTTTTCTGTTTGTTTTTGCTACAAGAGATTGAACCCAGGGCCACACAAACATGCTAAACACATATCCTGCCGCTGAGTCACCCCTCTGTCTCCCAAGGATAATTCTGATCTGTGCCATCATGTCTTGCTTTCTTTTCTCCCTAATAGAACCGCAATGATTTCCTCTTCTTGGAGAAAGATCACTAGTTTGTTGCCATTTTTAATAACGGTTTTCTTTTTTGTAAATTCACAGATTGGTCAAATCATTGTGCCACAACATTCCGAGAAGATGGATTATGGACCTACCTCAGTCAGATTGTGGCCTGTTCCCCTTGGGTCTTATATATCTTCATGCTAGCAACTTTTCATTTCTCATGGTCAACGTTTTTATTAATGAATCAACTCTTTCAGGTATTTATTCCTCATGATGCTTTTGAGTGAGAGTCCCAGGCATCTGTAGTTAAAAATCAGAAGTCTTAGATTCTAGTTCCACCTCCATTGCTTCCTCTGTGAGTCACTGGACCACTCTTGGATTCAGTTTCCTTGCTGTACAATGAGGATAATAATGCCCATCTAGTCTCACGGGTTGATTTAAAGATTGGACTAATAAATTGCTGGAGTGGGAGCTAGGAGTGACCTAGTCTGACTTCTTTATTTTACAGATAGAGGAACAAAGAGGTGAGTTGTTCAGGGTCATCCACTCAGTGGCAAAGTCAGAACTAGAAGCTTAGATCTTCCAGCAGCTCTAATTTCAACAGTTCTTTCCATCATACAGTTAAGTTGTGTAGTGTATGAAAGCATGGTGTAAACTGAAACAGCAGAGAAATGTGAGGTGGTTATTTTCCCTCAGCCTGTCCATTTCTTACCTGTTGCAGTGGCTAGATGGATGGAAGTAGGAAGAAATGAAAGCTATACCTCTGACCAGTGGGCCTAGTAATTACATTTTCAAAGAAGGTCATGGCCATTAGTAAGTGCAAGCTCCAGGGCAGTAGTCACCATCAGCCTTTTATGAAGCTCCTACCCTACCCCTGCTGCCTTCCTCCTTCTGTGAGCCTAACATAATTATTGCTGTTGCTATGACCTGCCACATAGAACAGGCAGCTGTGATCAGTCTGAACCAGTTATGCAAGACCTCAGGTAATTGTAGCTTTACTGAACAGAAGCAAAGTGAATACACTGCGTGGGGAAGTAACCAATTTCAACATAATATTGGTAAAAAGGAAGGAAAGGGGGGAATGCCAAGGACCAGGCATGGTGGTACACACGATCCTCAGCTATTGGAGAGACTGAGGAGGATTGTAAATTTGAAACCAGGCTGGGCAACTCGGTAAGACTCTGTCTGAAAATGAAAAATAAAAAGAGCTGGAGATGTAGCTCAGTGGTACAGCACCCCTGAGTTCGACCCCAAGGAAGGAAGGAAGAGGGAGGAAAAAAGGAAGGAAAGAAGAAAGAAAGGAAAAAGAAAAGCTACAAAAGGAAGAAAACAGAAGAGAAATGCTAGGGAAAGAACAGAGTGAATACTGACTAATATGGGGTTTCTGGGTTTTCATCTTTAACAGTCCAGGTGGTAAATGGATAGTATCATCAGTGATTATTAATATTAATTCTTGTCATTTGTAATACCTAATATTTATGTGTGGTTTACATTTTCCAAAGTATTTACCCATCTGTTTTCTTACAAGCATTTGAGGTGTGTAGCATGCCAAAGTAGTATCTCTATTTTACGGATGAAAAAGTAAACCCGAGAGATGGTCAGTGGCTTGCTTGTGGCCATGGTCCTGGCAAGAGGTGGAGTAATATTTGAGACATCAATTCTAATTCTTTTTCTTCTTTTCCTGACTCTTAGAACAAGTACGAGTGTATGAGGTTATGATACCATTAATTTTTAAAAGAAAAGTTAATAGGTTTGTATATACTTTCTAAGGAAAGAAAATGGACTTAAATTTCAGATAATTTTCAAGAAATAAGAATTTAGAGCAGAGCTGTTTACTTAATGAGCAAAGCAGTCTGGTTCTTTGAAAATGCTCGTTTCCTGAGGGCTCTGGTCGGGCGTGGTTTCAGTGGCACTGGGCAAACTGAGCATGTGGACTGCTTCTGAGGAGCCAGTGACTGACTGTTTCACTCCCAGCTCTGCTGCTGTCTCAGCTGTGTGGCCTTGGGGCAGTTACTTCCCCTCCCTCGGCCCCAGCACCAGGTGTGTTAAGTATCTTAGCAGCTCGAAGAGAGTGGCAGGCCAAGCTCCATTTCACAGATGAGGAAATTGCCTTTAGAGTTGTTTTGAATATGAGATGGGATAACTCTGTAAATAGTTGTGGCTTTTAATGATTTCAGATTTTATGCGTCACCTTAATTCTTATTCTTCTCCAAATCTATGCATTTAAATGTTCTTCATGTCAGCTTATTAACTTTTTTCTTTGGCACCTTTTCAGAGAGCTTCTAAGAATTAACAAATGGAGATAATTACACTGATACTGACTTTATTTTATTTATCCAAGAATCGTATACTCACTGTTAAAAATCTAAACATCCCCATAAGCCATAGCTGGAATTAATAAAGCAGTTATTGGGCGGGGGATTTAGCTCAGTGGTTCTGGCGCCTGTCTCTCGAGCGCAAGGTCCCAAGTTTGATTCCGGTACCAAAAAGAAAAGAAAAGATAGATCTTTCCCCAGGGTTTGGCTCAGTGGTTCCACCGCCTGCCTTGCAAGCGCAGGGTCCTGAGTTCGATTCCGGTACCAAAAAGAAAAAAAGATAGACCTTTGCCCAGGGTTTGGCTCAGTAGTTCCACCGCCTGCCTTGCAAGTGCAGGGTCCTGAGTTTGATCCCTGGTACCAAAAAAAAAATCCAGTTATTTCACAACTCTTAAGTTAATCCACAGTGCTTTCTTGAAAATCTAATAAAAATGAGACAGTCACAAAGAGAAAGCCTAGCTACTAGATCCGCATAGTACCAAATGGAGGACATGGTTTAAGGCTGCTGAATCTTCCCCCAAGACCCTTGGCTAGGAAGGGGGCTGAGGCAGTGGTCAATCGGGCGCAGTCCTAAGTGTGTGCCGGTGCCCTGTGAGGTGCTGTTAAGGGTGATGGAGCCACAAAGTGGTATTTTTAGGTACCCTCTGTCCTTCTTTTTCAGATTGCTTTTCTGGGCCTGACCTCCCATGAGAGAATCAGCCTGCTGAAGCAGAGCAGGCAGATGAAACAGACACTGTCCCTCAGGAAGACACCATACAAGTAAGTGAGATCTTTTCTGGCCTCTGCAACCAGAAGATGCCCAGCCACTGACTTCCTAACCCAGCCCCCACCCCCACCCCCCGGACCCATGCTGCTATTCTCTAATTTGCTATTTGGGGGAGTTGAGCCCTCCTTTCTCGGAAGCCTCAGTGCCATGGGTGGGGTGGCAAGGTCATGATCCCAAGGTGGTGAGGAATTTAGTCTACTAGACTCACCACAAGTAGTAAGTGACTTTCAAGTTTTGCCAAGATGGGGAATCTCTCCAGTCAAGCCACACGGCCCCAAGGTTGCAGGTTGCTGGCTTGGAGTCAATGCAAGATGATTAAGCGCTTGGTTGAGCAAGCTGCCCACAAGGCTGCCTTTTGAGAGCATTTGATTTTGTGTTTTGCCACAATTTTAAGCCTGGCTTTCCATCACCAGTAATTCTTTCAGCCCTATGTTCAGCATGCCCACCTGCATCAGGAGGAAGCTAGTTTTTCAGGTTTGGAATGTGTTCCCCAGTGCATTGAACTTGTCTTCAGTTAAAACGAGAGTATAGAAAAGCTGTCATTTTGTGATATGAAAAAGATGAGGCCTGGAAGCTTATCTCCCTGCCACCTACATCAGGGTCTGGGGGGCCGAGAGTGCTGCAGAAGTGACCCAAAGCCCGAGGGATTGAGCGCTGGCGCTCACTGCATATCTCCTAAGCAGTCTATTTTAAAGCCTCCTCTTGGTACAAGATGAAACTGTTAGGCTATTAGACAAGGAGATCAGAGCCTTGGGTGTGACTGTAGTGTGTATTTAGAGGGAAGAGAAGTGGACTTAATAGGAAGAAATGGCTACAGCATTGGGAGTGTAGTGTAAAGCTTATGGTGATTGTTCTGGGCTGGCAGTGATGATAAAATCCCTTTTTCGGTGCTTTTACCAGAGGAATAAATATTTATTCCAATAAAGTATGGAAGCCTTTTGATAGAGGTGGAATTTTAAGTGGAGCCTTGAGATGGGGGCAGACCTGATGTAAATGGGAACAAGGGCATGCCAAGCCCTGGGGAAAAGTCTGAAGGGGGCAAAGAAGGTGAGAGCTGGTGCACTTTTGCCAAGCAATGGCAACATAACTCAAGGAACTAAAGGTAGAGCCTTGGAGTTACTTTGAATCTACTTTCCAAAATCCTGCCCAATCCCAAGATTTTTGCCTGTTTGTCCTCCTTTATTAAGTAGGCCTTGAGCCAGACCCTCTGCTTCCTAGCATGTCTCCCTACTGCCATTCCAGCATTTCTGTGGAGTCAGCCCTGTCCCTAGGAAGCCGCTTTCTGAGTAGCACTGATTCTTCACTGACAGCAGCACAGTTCTCTTTGTGTACCACACAGCCATCTAAGCAGCAGCAACACAATCGTCTTCGTGCACAAATGTGGTATTGTTTGTTTTGCAGTACTGGGAATTGAACCAGGGGCCCACACGTGCTAGGCAAGTGCTAGGCAAGTGCTCTACCACTGAGCTGCATGTTCAGCCCCACATACTTGTTTTTGATGTATGCAGGGAACTGGATTGCACTTAAAAGACTAGGTATATGTGTTTTAAAAAATCATTATTCGTACTGGAATAAGACAGTAGTACTTCAGAAATTTAATGGAGAAAAAGTAATGCTGAAGATGGTAGTCAGGAAGGGCCCAGTGACAGTGTGGACTGGGCCTTGAGAAGGATGAGGGGTTAACCTGCGGTAAGGGTGGGGGAGTGTGGGTTCCAGGCCCACATAGTTGGAAAAATAGAGCCAGCAGAAGAGCAGTAGGCTTATAAAGGTGACTTTGGGAGCTAATACTTGGATTCATTGGGTAGGCCTTTGACCACAAAGATGAGGAGTTTGGACGGGGCCTCTGGACAGAGTCTTGAAAGGCTTGATTGAGACATGGACTATGAATGTGTCAGGTTTTGGAGGACTAGACAGGCTGCAGTATGTAAGATGAACTGGAAGGGACTGAGGTAAGTACATCATTTCGAGACTTATTTGGACAGTTAAGGGGAAAAAACATATCTTGTTGATTACAGTTGTTCTGGCCTGTGTGGCCTTTGAGATACTGAAAGTCTGAATTAGGGCAGTGAAAATCGAAAGGAAGAAACTTAGTGATGGCAGTGACCAGTAGAGTGGGTGTGGGACTCAAAAGGAGGTGATAAAAGGCCCCTCAAGTTGCCGGGCACAAGTCAAGGAATCTCAAAGTAGGGATTCAGATTCAGAAACAGAATTGTGTTTCAGTTTTAAGGGTCCATAAGCCCAGAAAGAGTCCAGAGTACCTCAGGATTTCTGCAGGGTCATCAGAGGACATCGTCTCATAGATGCTCAGTGAATGTTTATGGTTTGAATGAAGGTTTGTGAAGAGCTACTCAGGAAGTGAAGTAAGGCTTCCTCTCTTCTTTTCTTGGCAGCCTTGGATTCAAACAGAACCTGGCAGATTTCTTTCAGTGTGGCTGCTTTGGCTTGGTGAAGCCCTGCATGGTAGATTGGACGTCCCAGTACACCATGGTCTTTCATCCAGCCAAAGAGAAGGTTCTTCGCTCCGTATGAAGAAAAGCACCTCACAACTGTCATTCTGATGTGTTTTTTGTTTATGATGGTGCCCTGCCAAGGTTTGAAAAGGAAGTGAAGTTTAGAGTTCATCTAAGCCCAAAGGAAAACAAAGGTGGTTTTATGGCCATTTGGTAAAACAGTTCTCAGTAAAGGTATATACTCTTTCAGGCTTAGAGAAATGGACTATTTCTGAATACTCTTGGCAAACACGGTAAAAAAAAAATTTTAAATAAAAAAAACTTTTATATTTTTCACAAGAATATTCAAATTAATTTTTTGGAGATAATATTCACTGCTTATGAATAAAATAGAGTATTTTCAGATACTATATTGGCTGTTTCAAAATAGTACTATTCTTTGAAATGTAATTTTTAGTAAGTTATTTGTCATTGTTATATCTATAAATATGTAAAGAATATTTAAGTAGGTATCTCTGCTTTGCTTTCACACCTAATAAAATTTTCTTTTGTAATTGAGACTTAGTTTATGTTTATATGACATAAAGAAATTTGCAGTCTCAGGAATGAATTGAGATTACTGCTAACCTCAATAAGCAAACTTTAATTTAATTTTCTGTCTTATTTAGAAATTGAACATAGGTAGTCTTAAAGAGTATTTCCTATTTTTTACTTAGTACCATCAAAATATTAGAATAGTGTGATTGTCATTACTAATTTCCTTTATTCTGGAGGAAATGCTGATTCAACTTTAACTCTTGGTATAGTATATATGTTCTTGGGCACATCACCTTCCTGCTGTGAATCCTACATTGGGTTCCCATTACCTTTGAAGTAAAAACTGTGATTTGCATCACAGCAAACCACAAGTGCTGCGACCTTGTTTCATCACAGCAAGCCCCTGAGTGCTGCGACCTTGTTTCATCTTACCAGTGTCACTCTCAACCACACTTTGTCCTCTAATTGCATTGACCTTTCAGTTCCTCAAGGATCCATTCTCCTCCCTCCTACACAGTCATTGTAGGTAAGGAAACTAAACCGAAAGGAAGTCCATATGTTCTGTAAGGTCACGTGGTTACTCAGTGGGGTTGCCACAATCGAGCACCAGTCACTTAGGCTATTGTCTGATCCATGCTCTTCATTCGATAAATATTAGAATTTCTTGAATGAAATACAAAATAAATGTTTTTAAAGCAAGGCATGATGAGATCAAAATTATGTTTGAAGACTGATTTTTAGTTAGTGGACAGAAGCACTTCCTCAGGCTATGTTCTCTCTCTCCCTTTCTCACTAACCCCAACTAAGTAAGTATCCTCAAGTTGTGGTCCACAGATCATTCAGATCAGAACCACAGGAACTAGGTGGGAATCCAGGGCTCACTTCTTTAAAATTCAAACTTTCCATCTCATACCATCCAAGTCAGTCAAAACCACTGCATCCCAGTACTTCCAATTGGCCTGTAACATGGGAAGTGCATTTCATGGATTTTTAGATTATTCTACTAACATTGAGCACCATGCTTGGTCTTACAGACCATAAAACATTTCACTGGTTATGCTCATCATGGAGGTTATAGTCGAGAGGAAGCTAATATAAATGATTCTATAATATAAGGTAAAAATACTAAAAGCCACGAAGAGGGGTACAAATAAAATCCTGTTGGAATTTAGAGGTCAGGGGAGCCTCAGTAGATATAATTAAGGAAGCATTAAGGATGATAGGATTTTCAAAGGACAGTAGTTAGACCAAATCAGTGGGCAGTGGGATAACTTGGAGCACATTTATATTTCAGGTGTTCAGTAGTCAAGAGAGTTAATGTGATGACGAATATTCCCTCGGTGTCTTTAAATAGCCACAGTCCTAGGGCTAAACACAGTATAAGGCTATTTCTTCCTCTCAGCACAGTCCATTTAGCTATTTGCAAAGATCCAAGCTCTTTCCCAACTAGAGACTCCACAATTTCCTACAGCCTCAGTTCTACTAGACCCTCTGTATCCAGAGGTGCAGAGGATGGAGACTTCTCGAGAGATCTTGGAGGCTAGAACTTCATTGTCTGGACCAGTCATGGTTGTTTTAGAGCTGTCAGTGATACACACAGCCCACTGCAGCACATGTGCCATAGGTTTGTCACCACTGTTCTAGACCCAGTCATGTGTCCCAGTCTATAGCAGAGGAGCCTGGGAAATGTAGCAGAATAGTGTGCCTGAGAAGAAACTCCATTTCACTGGACCACAAGGAGGTTCTTACTTTGTTTTGTTTTGACTTAAGTTTCTTTATTGCCCTTGTAGTGTAAGTTTCTTTATTGCGGTTGTAGTGCCTCCTTTTACATTGTAGCCAAATTTGCATTTAGTCTGGCTTACATTCTCTCCCACTTCATTCACTCAACAAATGTTTATTAAATGCTTACCATTTGTAGCCTCTGTGAATGCAAGCCTGTCGTATTGTAACAAGGAGATAAGTGGAAATTTAAAATTCTATCCAGTGAGACAGGGCTTTGTTAAATATCAGTTACCGAAGTGTAGGGTGGACTTGTTCTCAGTTCAGAATGTATTTTGTAAAGGAGGTGATATCTGACCTATGACTTGATAGTTTACCAGGCTAGGGAGTTGCGGGGAGAGATGGTTAAGGTTCCATTTTCCAGGAGTAAGGTACAGTGTTAGCAGATGTGTGGTGGGGTGAGGGTACTAGGTGTTTAAGAAAGCTTCAGGTCTTTTGAGTGTGGCTTGAACTTGTGTGGAAGAGATTGTCCAAAGCTAAGTTGAAGGAGTAAGTCAGAGGTCAATTTGTTAAAGTCCTTACATGATAAACTGTTAGGGGCTCAATTGTGTCTCCCCACAATTCATATGTGAATTCACAATTCATCATGTGAAGTCCTAACCCCCTCAGAATGTGACTGTATTTGAAGAGAAGACATAGAAAGGCACGATTAAAGTTAAAGGAGGTCTTAGAGATGGGCCCTAATCCAGCATGATTGGTGTTGTTATTAAAGGAGGAGTTTAGCACACACACACACACACACAAAGAATAGCATGCAAAGTCCAGGAGAAGACAACCATCCAAAGCCAAGGAGAGAGGCTTCAGAAGAAGCCAACTGTGCCCACCCCTTGCTGGGTATCTAACTCCAGCCAGCTAACACACATGCCAGAGAGTAAGAGCAGAGAGGATGTGTTCCGGAGATATTTTGAGATTAGAATCAGGAGGCTTGAAGATTGAGGTGAGGGAGAGGGCAGAGCTAAGGATGATTGAAGTTTTTAGCTTTGGTCTCCTGAGACTAGTAAGTGATGTGCAGCTGAAGTTCCACACAGGGCTTTGTCCAAGACAGCACATGAGCAGCACTGAATAATCCCTCCTTCTAAACACAGCCTTCCTTGGGACTGGGTACATAGAAAACCCCATGGTTGAGCCTAAGATTTCATCATTTTTATCAGTAGATTTTTTTTTTTTGCTTTCATTTACTCCAAATAATTTAAAATTGCACCGAGATGGAAGAATTAGTGCTGCTGTTAAGAGGATCTGCGCGCCCTTGCTGCTGGAGAGGTGGAGGAAGGCATCTCTACTTGGCTGCCTTTCATTTCTGAGGCTAGCAATTTGATGGAGAAGTTTGTAAAAAATTGCTAAACCTCAGGGAATCATCCTAGAATAAAAGAAAATCATCCTCATGTCGTCTATAATAGAGAAGCAAGTGCCATGCTTTGTTGTCATTTCTCAGTTTTCACAAAATGTATAAGATTGCAAAGCCAGTGATAGAACAAAAGGATAGACTCTGGCAGTTTTATTGTTTTTGATTTTCCTTTTAGAATTTGCTATCTTGTTCTGTATTCCCTCCCAGTCCACTGTTTCCTTCTCTGCTAGCGGTAACTGCAAGGACTCAGCTGACGATTCTGGGAGACCATCTCCTTAGCCCGTGATTTCTCCCTTCTCTTTTCCCAGCTGACATCTGAATTCATTCTCTGCAGCAAATTTTTTGAACAAGCTCTATTTTTTGAAAAATTTACTCTTAAAAGGAAAAATCCAAAGACATACAAGGTACCACTAAAACATTTATTTATTGCCTCTCCCACCCCAAGAATTGTAAATAATAAAGCATTTTCTACAGATTAATTTTCTTCCAAAGATTTTTTTTTTCCCTCACTTTGGAAAAGCGTACACCCAATTCTGAAGAGAACGTTGTCCCACTACAAACGAGGCTGCTTAGGGAAAACTTCCTCTGCGAGGGAGCGCTTGGCAACGCCTTCCGCTGTGAAGGTGAGAAGGACTCTCCTGTCACTCTTTCTTTTCCACTTGGTGTGTAAGGCCCCCAAACCCAATGCCTGTAGGGCCAAAATTTTTGGCATAACAAACTGAATGAGAGGGGGATAAAGAGAGAGAATGTTGATTAGCACCCTTGTTCAGGTCCTTGTGCATAGTCACAGTCCATTTACCTATTAAAGGCAACTTCTTCATAAAGGTATGCGTAAGTTAACGTTTAAATAAATTATATTTCTCACAGATCTGCTGATAAAAGTCTTCTCATTTGACTGGGCACAGCCTGGTTCTGGGTTGCCTACCCAGCCTGCTGTCGCCTGCCCCACATTCCAGGCGCACAAGAATGTGCCGTGCTGTCCATGCTTAAATGTCACTACTGCCTGCTCCTGGAATGCCTCTTCCCAAACCCACACTGAGCCTTCAAGCCCCAGAGGAAGCAGGTCTTCTGAGAAGCCTCCCTCAGCTGAGCTGATTGCTTTCCTCTTTGTAGGCAGCTGCACGGTGAATGTTCTTTACTGCAGCTTTCTTCACTTTGAAATGTAATTTGTTTATATGCTGATCCCACTAACTACAACAAGATTCTAGGCTTGTATGACCTGTGAATGCTGAGGACCCTCTGTCTTCTACCATCAGGAGGAGGCAACCACCTGACAGATGGTGAGTTAAGTCCCATCCTGTCTCATCATGGGAGAAGCTTTGCCAACCTATAGTCCTTATAGCATTAACAATGCTCTCTTAACCCTCTTTCCTTTGCTGCCCTGACTCCACCAAACAGAGTTAGAGATTCCTGAGCTATCATTAAGTGAGGATCGATGTTCAACAGAACCACAGAATAGGCCCAAGGAGGCTCTGGTTGGAGACAGATTGCCTTGGCCTGAGTGTGTCCCTTTCTGCAGTATGAGGAGGGAGCTGACCCTCACTGTCTCTGCACAAGACCGGGGGATTATTTAGATAGCTAGCTGAGAGCTCCAGGAACCAAGAGGAAAGCCAGTTTTGCCTCTGTGATCACTACATAGCATGCAACATCAGAAACAGAAATGTCAGAAGGGAGGAGGAGGGGCAGAGACCGGAAGGAAGATGGAAGAAAGGAGGGAGGGTGGCGTACAGGAAGAGAGGAGAGAGACAGATATTACTGATAAACTCAAGTGTGGCCACATAGACTTCTTTCTTCAGCCACCCCAGTCTGCCACCCAGATGGATTCAGCCGGGCCAGAGACCGGACACTCTTTCTTCCCCTCTTCCACCTGGCACTCTGCCCTGCCCCACTGAGCATCTGCAAGCCCCTGGTCCCCCTGGTGGCCCAGTGGTGAGGACCAGAGCTGGGTCAGGTGATCCTCTCCATAGTTGACACAGGTAGGCCTCTAGGCAGGAACACACTTTCCCCCAAGGACCCTCCTTGGGAAATCAAGTCTCTGGAAGGTCTCCAGAACCACTCACCTTTGCAATAAAGTTCCCCGTCTTTGTCAGTGACGTTCGTGGACTCTAGGCTCTTCCCACACATGGCGCAGCGGAAGCAGGTCTTGTGCCAAGGCTGAGGAGCACAGGAGAGTTGCATATCAAGGAGATGGCAGCACATTCTGGTTTCCTTTCGAGTTTCCTAGCCAGCAGCTTACTAACAAGTGCTTTTGCCTACTTAATGGGACTCTGGCATAATCTTTCTAGGGGTTTGGAGAAGATGAGATGCAATGGCTGTGGCCGGCAGTGCTCAGAGCCCTGCAAATGGATTTGTTCTGGTGACCTACATATGGGTTCCTTCAGAAGAGGGAAGAGGCTAGAGCAGAGGGAAGGGCTCCCAAGGGACACACTGGTCAGGAAAGGACTGGGCCTGAGGCCAAAGGTCATGTTTGTGTTGAATATGAAGATAAAGAAAAGTGAAGAAGCAGGCACCCTTGTGTGTAATCAACCTTGTTTTCACTCTGTGCAATTCCCACGGCACAGAGGCGCTGGGATTATTCGGAACATCACCTCCCGCCTGCACATTATATGTCTGCAAGGCTCCGGTTGGGTTGGAGGTTCTCATAGGTGTGCGAAGGGCTGACCTTCGTATAGAGACAGCCTCTGTGCAGAAGCCTGTCCTCTCCATGCCCCTTCTTCCCTCCAGCTAGCGTTAGTAGGATTCTTCTCTTTTCTCAGCTCCAGCTCCTTTGATGAGTACCCTGACTTTGGGCCTGAAGCCAGAGCTTTTAGAACAGTGTGCATGACTGTCACAGACACTTGATGACTTTTCTGTAAGCCAGGACATTTCTAAGTGAGGCTGTCTCTTGCTGCAGTGAGGCAGTAGCTGTGTGATGACAGGAGCACATGGAGTTACATAGCAGTGACCGGTTCCCGTGGCTGACACCTTTCTGGAAGGATTGTGTACACTGATAGTTGGGGGCTTGTGTGCCTTTGTATCACTAGAGCTTTTAGCTCGATGCCTTGGTCCTAGTACTGTGATAGTGAACCTTTTAGGGCTTTCAATACCAATAGCCCACGTGTGCCATAGGTTCACCACCACTGTCCTAGTAGTTTAATGCTTGTTGCAGCAAACCACATCCGTTCTTGTTTTCCAAGGGGAATGCCAGGTGACAGTCACAGCCCAGAAAGGTGAGTGAAGATGTATGGTTAGCTACAAGGGGTGATCAAAATACACGGTGAATGTTTTAATAAAAATTTATCACAGTAAAAGATACATTGCCATTAATCTATCTCTCCTCAAACACACTTATCCCAGTGTTCTTGCCACTTTCGGAAGCAGTTCTGGAAGTCCTCTTCCATGACTGTCTTTACAAGATGTGATAAAAACAATTTCGTGGACGCTGTTGCTGTATACCACCCAACAGAAAGGCCAGCTTGTAAAAGCATTACAGCGGGTTCTCGTCCACCTTATTTACCGGATCTGGCGCTGTGCAACTTCTGGCTCTCGCCCAAAGTCAAAGTGACCATGAAAGGTAAACATTTTGAATTGATTTAGGACACTGGGTCAGCCATATAGCACAACTAAAGACTCAGGGACGAGGACTTCCAGAACTGCTTCAGGAAGTGGCAAGAACAATGGGAGAAGAGTGTTCAAAGCCAGGGGGAGGTATTTTGAGGAGGATTAATGGCAATATGTCTTTTACTATGATACATTTTTTAATGTAAACCTTAATTGTTTTTTTTTTTTTTTTTTGGAACCAGGGATCGAACTCAGGACCTTGTGCTTGCAAGGCAGGCACAGTGCCACTGAGCTAAAATCCCGGCCCTAAACATTAACCTTTTTTTTATCATACCTCCTAAAGAGATTCTAGGAGCCAAGGCAAGTGAAGGGTCTGCCCCCACCTGCCAATAGTCCCAGTTCTCTCCTCCCTTCCAGCTCATCTAGTGTAGATGAGCAGATCCCATTTGGCGCCAACAGAAAGCCTCACCTTGCCACCTCCCATGATCTTCTCAGCAGCATAGACTGACTTTCCACATCGAGGGCACTTCTCTGACTCACCAAACTTCGAAGTGAACTTGGAGGGGTTGCTGGTGGTGGCTGATCGTGCCTGCTTCGGGGACCTGATGGAAGTAGACAAATGAAATGGAGACCTCTCTTGGCACGCAGTATGAGCTGCGTGACCTCAAGTGAGCTACCTGGCTTCCGGGTACCTCTGTCTCCTCATCTGGAAAGTGGAGATAATCACAGTGCCTTTCTTACAGAGCTGTTGAGAGGGCTAATTGAGGGGATGCGTGCAAAAGCACTGAGCACAGTGCCTGCCTGGCACGTGGTGGCTAATACCTGAAACAGTGGGATTAAACACCTTCTGCGTTGTATAGCAAGTGTTCCATGTGTATTTGCCTGTAGTCTTATCGTTGTTCTGGTGGTGTTACTGCTATGCTTGCTTGTTTGGGTTTTTCTGAACTCTCAAAGCTCAGCAATATGTTGTCTAAACTGAGTTGTGAAAGTCCTAGGGCAAGAGGGGATGTTGATTGTTGTGCTGATGCTTTCCTTATCACAATCCAAGCTGTCCTGCATCCAAAAGTCCCTTGTCCTCATGAGTGCAATGTCCCAAAGAGAGGCACAATAGCCCCCCATGTCCTTATATCTTTTGCTGCTCCCATGTATGTTCTATTGCTTGGACCTTACTACAGCCCTGTAAAGTACACCGGGATAGTTGTAGGAGAGCAGGATGGAGGATGAACCACCCAAGACCAGCCAGCTCATACCTGATGGAACTGAGATGAAACCCCAGGTCTTGGATTCTTGTCACTCTGGGCATCATCAAAAGAAAGTGAGCTTTGTTCAATTCAAGGTAGGGAATGCAAGTGGTGTATTTTGTCTTTATGAGAAGTTTCAATCCAGGCCTGGTGGTGCATTTTTATAATCCCAGCACTCTGAGAGGCTGAGGCAAGAGGGGCTCAAGTTAAAGCTCAGCCTGGCAACTCAGCAAGACCCTGTCTCAAAAATATTTTTTTTAAAAGGTGAGCTGGGGATGTATCTTAGTGTGAAGGCCCTGCATTCAATCCCCAGTACCAGGGGGCGGGGCGGCGGAGGGGAGTCTCCAGCTGGGATGGAGTAATGAGAGAAATTAATAAAGGGAAGTTCTCTCCTTAGGACGATAATCACACATCCCTCCACTTTTCCAGGCTCTGGTAGGTTACTCCCATCTGAAGGGACCAGATGGCTCCTTAGATGTTCTAACTGCTCAGCGGGGGAGCCTCATGGGACTCTCCCAGTTGGGCAAGGCCTTTCTGGCCAGCCCCACAGCAAGGCTGAGCCCAGATACCAGCTGACCAGGCTGCAGCTGCAGGCCAGTGGCCACTACACAATCCTCAGTTCTGGGCCAGGAGATAATGTAATCACCTAGAAAGTGGGCTGAGCAAGCAGACTGGTAGATGGAGGTGGCCGTTGTGATGTCCCATTTTTTAGGACCATGTTGGGAGAAATCCAGCAGTGTGCCAGCAACAGGTAGCCAGGCAGACTCACGGAACAATCATAATTGGTTGTTTACTCCTGAGACTCAGCCCATTCCTGTGACCCTCCCCCTGCAATGTGAACATTAGTCATCTTCCAGCAAAAGGGAAGAAATCTTTTAGCGACAAGCACACACAGAATGGCCATCCTGTCCCAGCCACATTTATGTGATTTACGCAGAAACCTTCAAAGGGGAGGAAGAAAGACTCCACGCAGTTTTGCAAAGGTCAAACAATAGAACATCTGTACATTCCCGGGTTTCTCTTGACATGCAAAGCCAGAGCCGTGGTGTAAAAGTAATTGCGCTTTAGAAAGGCAGATAATTCAGAGGCCGCCTTTGGAGCGATGACACATCGTTAGAACTTGGTCAGAGTGAGTATTCCTATTGTCAGCAAGTCGACAATGGAGTCCATTTTCCCACTTCCAGAAAATGTTGCTATGGGAACGGAATGAACTGTCCGGGTAACTGGAGACTGTAACAGGGAGGGGGAGCACGGCAGTAACTCACTGTTGGAACTGCAGCCCGAGGTGCTCGCCTGTGTCCGTGCTGAGACAGCCGGCGCCTTGTCCGTACCCGATCCCCTTGGGGCCGTACCTGCGCCCGTAGCAGACCTTACAGTAGATCTCTGACTCGTGAGCTGCGACTGTAGTGCTGTCCAGAGCCTTCCTGCAGGCCACTGCAGAAAACAGAAGAGTCAGGGCTGGGCTGAAATCCTTCTCCCCTGTCCTGCATCCCCAGTGCCATTGCTCGGGGCCCAGGCCCAGAACTCAACTTTGATTCCCAACTGGAACATCCGTCTGAGTTGTAGACCTGAAGAGGGTCCCGTTTTCACAGGTGACGAAATTGGCACAGAGAGAATGGAAATGATGTTTTCAATGTACCCGCAGGAAGAGTGCAGAGGCCAACCCAGGAACCAGGCATATGGTCTCAGACCAGCTAAGAGCAATGTCCCTGGACAACAGATCACACCAGACATCATCAGGGAGTGTGTGTACGTGTGCATGTAGTGGGGTAGGGGGATTGAGACAGGAGAGGAGCTTACTTTTTCCCTAATCATACCAAAATTAGGACTGAGCACTTTCTGTACTTATCTGGGCCCTTGTAGGGCACTGGAAGGAGACAGTCAATATTGAGACCAATCTGGGTGGCCCAGTTCTGGAAGCAAGGGAGGGGCAGAAGGGACAGACCTGTCTCATACACCCCTCAGCTTTCCACTAGCTCAAGCCTTGTGGTTGCTCTGCGCCACCTCGTGTGAAGCGTCCTGGGAGATAAAACAGCCCATACCCCATTTTTCCAAAGAGAAGGTTTGTAGGAAGATGCTTGTTTTCTTGCAAACTTGAAGAAAAAATCTTTTAAAGATGTGAGTGAAAAAGTCAAATATGTTCTAATATTTAACCATATACATCACTAATATATTGATCTAGAAGTGTTACTTTTTCTTATCTCATAAAAATTCAGAAAACTATTGTATCCTGATCTCTCTTTCTCTTCCTCACTTCCAGTCACTTTGGGGGTAGCTGGCCCAGCTCTGCGGAGCTGCTTGCCTGCCCTTCTGTCTGAGTCCTTTGAGAGCAGCCCTGTTTCCCTCTTGATTAGGAGGCTGACACCCGAAAAATTGTATCTCAACAAGCAATTGTCACACTATTAGCATAACATAAGGCAGCTTTAAAATATATAAAGGATTTCCACAACTTAACAACTTGGCTGTAGTGCTTTGCAGCAATAATCCTCAAAGACTGTTTATAGGGATTGTGCTTGTAACACTGACATTATAGCCCAGGAATAGTAAAACTTACATTAAATCTATTTTCCTCTTTTTTTTTTTTTAAACTAGTTCCATCAAATGATCTCTATAAGCAATCCAAGGTGGTATGAGGTAGGTTCAGGCCACCAGGCCTTCCTCAAGTGGTATTTTGTTGTTAAAAAAATAGTCATTGAATAAAGGAGTAGAAGAAACTAAATATGAGGTACAATTGGCTGGGGTTTGTTGGTTGTGGAGCCAGGGAGACTGGCACATGGAAGAGAGTTCATGCAACTATTTGGTCGGCACTGTATGGGTCACAGTTTAAATACATACGGCTTTAACACAAGGCAATTTTTTCATGAAGAATGAGGGGGGGATGGCTTATATAGGGGCCTAGGAGGTGGGGACCTGTCTGTGTTGTTGCTTTCAGCACCCTGCAAAACCACTGCTCACGTATTTGCTGGTGTAGATGTTGGAATCCAGGAGGACAAGGGTGTTTTACCTTAATATCCCCAGAACATGGCAGAGGCCCCAGAGCCAGAGTTAGTCCTTTGTAAACATTTATTGAATAAATGAATTGATGAATGAGTGCATATGTCTGGAAGTCAGTGGCTTGTCCATGATTATATAACAGTAAATTGCGGAACCATAGTTGACCTCAGATCCTTTGCCTCTTGCTGTTATGGTTTATACCTAGTTGTCCCCCCCAGAGCGTCATGTGGTCACAGGTGGGGCTTTTCAGAGGCGGCTGCATCTGGAGTGTGCGGTGCTGGGATCAAAGATGTGTGATTGTCAAGGGCTATACCTCCCCTAGGGTGGGTATCCTGCATAGAATATAAGGGACAAAGAGAGGGCTAATGTGCTTTCACCCACCTGCCTGCCATGGACTGCCTCTCCTCTGAGATGCCCCTCTGCCATGTGCCACTCTGCCTTGGAGCCAACAGACTATGGACTGAAAACCTCTATATACTGAGAGCCAAATAAACCTTTCCTCTTCTAACTTGGTGTGTCAGATATTTTGTCTCAGCAATGAGAAAAGTAACATATACACCTACTCTGCTGCTTATCCCAGCACTCTTAGGAAGCCTGTACTCTACCTCCCCTGGCCGGTTCTGTAGCCACTCCCTGACTTCTGACCCCCTTTGATACACAGGCAAAGGACAGCTGTGCTGCCCAGTACCACAGCCATTAGCCACATGATGCACTGGAAGCACAAAATGCATTTCTGATTTCAAATACTTGGTACAAACTCAAAGGAAGGTAAAATATCCCATCTATATTTAATCTATGATTATACATTGAAATTACAGTGTTTTAGAATATTGGATTAAATGAAATATTTCAAAATTAATTCTTTCTGGGTTTTTCCTGCACACTTTTAAAACCATGCTTATTAGACATTTAAATTTATGTATATAGCTTGCATTCTGTTTCTTTTGGACAGCACTGTTACAGAGGATGAATATGGTGATAAATTATGGCTATTTATCTAGAAATCAGGAGAATATTTCCAGAGGATGAGCTAAGGTAAACCTGGCTTCTCTGAACACTATTTCTGGCAACTAAAGGTCATCCTGTGAAGATACAGAAGAATGTGCTCCTCTCCTGGGCCCTCTGTCCACCACTCCTGAAACTTACTCAGTTGCTTATCCACCTACAAGTTCTTGAAGGGATGGACCACCAAGTGTTCACGTCCCTTCTACCATGGCTCCATTGAACAGGGTATCTCCTTGCTACCTGGCAAAGGAGCCACCTACCATGGGAAGCTTGCTGTTGCCACACAGACATCAACTTTAATCAAAGGAGATGGATGCCTAGAAGGCTGGATTTCCAGACCAAGGGTCTCAGGTCAAGCCTCCTCCTTGAGCCAGACTATATGGTCAGCTTGACCATCTCCATTTTATAAATGAGGCTCACAATGGTGAAATGTTTTCCCCAGTTAAGACACCGCAGAGCCCAGACTCGAACCTTAGTTCTTTTTACTCCATGTCATGGCTCATGTCTAGGTGTCCCCCTGAAAGCCTCATGCAGTTGTAGGTGGGGCTTTTTCTGAGGTGGTTGGATCTGGAGGGTATGATTGATTCATGGTAGGGCTAGGCCTGAGGGCACTAGGGTGAAGGGCGTGAGTGCTGCCCGCCCTAGGTAGTCTGAATGAGAGAAAAGGGGCAGGGAGAAGCTGTTAAGGTCCCTTGTTGCTTTTGCTATTTTGTGCGCCGCCATATTGTTTCTCCTCTGTGATGCCTGTTTGCCGTCCCTGCCTTGGAGTTGGCAGATTATGAACTGAAACTTCTGCAAACTGTGAGCTAAATAAATCTTTACCCCCTTTAACTCTGGGTGTCGGGTATTTTGTCTCAACAATGGGAAAAGTAACTAACACACTCCAATTCCAGCGTTCTTTCAAATCTTCTTAATTTTGACTCTTTTTCAAGACCACTAGCCATTTTTCCCCCTTTGGACAAAAGCCAGAGGGTTCTGGAATGAACTGTCTCGATAATGAATGAATTCTGGATAATTGTGATAGTACTGAATAATAATGATGAATGCGAGGACTGTGTAAGATAACTTAAAAATAATTATCTATCATGAAAACTCAAAGCATCATTAAGTCCACCAACCCAATCACTCAGAGCAGGGTTTCCTTTTTCTTCAGTGATCATTATGTTTGCTAGGGGGATAAGGATCATGCAGCTGACAAAATGTCACTATTTCTGGCAGCCTAAGGATGGAGTATCTCCTTGTTCTGACAGATGGAGCCCAGCGCTCGAAGTTCTCAGGCATGGGGTATGGTGTAGGGGGTAAGGAGCTACACAGGGAGGAGCCAGTCAAATATCCAGCAAAGCTAAGCCTTCAGCCAGAGCCACAGGAGGGAGCAGAGAAAATAAGTGGCCATTTCAAAGTCATGGAGCTAGTTTCTCCCAGAACAGAACCAACTACTAGGAAACTGCACAGTACAATCTTGTCCAAGAGAACTAGACTCGGGTCTGAAGGTACAGTCTCCTGGCTCTGCCTCAAATTCATGTGACCCAGGCTTGGAGATGAGAAATGATTTGCCGAAAGTCACATGATCACAGTGGCTCAAAGTTCCTCCAGTTTTGACATCTGTAAACCTGTGTCTAGTAACGGGTGATAAAGATTGCCTTTCTGGAGTTCCCGGTGCCCAGGCCATGAACTTTCAGAAATGGCGGAGTTACCCACTATCTGACACAGGTTCTTTCTTAGGAAAGACAAGTTACAGCTGGCTTCAGTGAAAACTGGCCCACAGGGCAACCCAGAAAGCCAAATCTACTTTGGTTCCAGATAATCACTGGCCTCCTTTCTCTGCCAAGTCACACTTTGTAAATGTCACCCCTCGGTCAAGGTTTTCACACAGAGAGCAGAGGGCAGGCCAGCTTGCCTTGGCTTTGACTGCAGGGAGATGGCCCGGGAGCTGTGTATATGGTGGAAAAAGAGCCCAGAGGATGCTGTTCCTTCTCTAGTGGGGCCCACAGATGACAGTTCTCACAAGTTCCCAGGCCTGGCTCAGGCAGACTGACCACACTATGATACCAGACATGGAGAATCGGTGGTTAAAGGAGAACCCAAGGTGCTCTCCTAACGATGCATGGTGGAGCACACCTATAATCCCAGCCCTCTGAGAAGCTGAGTTAGGAGGATCGCCAAGGATGTAGCTCACTGTGAGGGCCCCAGTACCACAAAAAAGCCCTCCGCTGAGCAGACACCCCACAGTGTCCACCCAACTCACTGCAGTGGAAGCAGGTCTTGTGGAAACTCCTGCCATTGCACTGGATTTCTTCCGCGTGGTAGACAGTCTTTTCACAGGCTCCACATTTTGCTCCTCCACCCCAGTTTGGCATCTTGAAGACTCTCTGACCAAGGTCAAGTCTAAGAGGATAGAAAGCCAATACCCTCAATTTAGGTGACATCAGAAGCGAACCTCTCCCTAGTATTCGGTGATCTGAGGACTAGAATCCAGCCTTATTTGTTCTGTGGGTCATTTATTTATTCATTCATTCATTCATTCATTCAGCAAATAGCTGTTCTGTGCATGGAGTTCAGATCCTCAGATGGCTTTGAATGGCCGCTTCACCACTTTGGGATTCGGTTTCTTTCCTGTTAAATTCCAATAACATCTGACCCTATGTACCTCGCAGCGTTCTTAGAAGGAATGGATGGCTAATTCTGTGTATCTAAAATTACATACAAATATTCCAATCATTTTTCCACCTATGATTTAAAAAATTATCTCATCAGGAGTGGGAGTCACCTTAGCAAATGATGCTAATTTACTTGTCTAGCCCATTGCCTCTCAAATCACCATGGGCCTTGCAGATTCTGGTAGACCTGGGGACAGGCAGTGTTGATGCTAACCCTTTGGGTGGTAAGTTCTTAGCTCATCACATATGATATTTTAAAAATCTCTTAGGGCCAGGGATATAGCTCAGCAGTACAGCACCTGCCTGGCAAGAGCAAGGCCCTGAGTTCAATTTCTGGTACCAAAAAAATTTTCCTATTCAGATCTATTCCTCACGTCCACACATCCTCTCTTTTAGAATGTCATTGCTCAGGCAGTGAAATGTATTGGCCCTGCACTGGGTCAGTCATCTGGAAACCTGCCTCGGGCTATCAGGGCTGTTGTCCACTTGCTGTGCTAGTGAAAGAGGTGCATAGCTTCTCATTACCTCTTCCCCGCTCCACGATGAGAGCCATGTTCTTCCCTGTGGTCTCACAATATTGTTTGAAGGACCAAAGGACGCCATGCACAGGAAGGGAGTTGGACACAGTCCTCAGTACGGGACAGGGGCCAGCTGATGGGACCGATGCATACCCCGGACTCTTGCAACACTGTGCTGCAAGGAGCTGCCTGTGGCCACAGCCCCAAGCATGCGCTGTCTTTCCACCAGATGATTCTGTTTAAATGATACTGTACTAGCCAAAGAAGAGGACTTTAAAAAGTAAGTTTTCAGCAGGGAAGCGGAAACAAGAGGATGGCAGGTTCAAGCTCAGCCTGTACAACTTGGTGACTGAGTGAGACTCCATCTCAAAATTTAAAAACTAAAAAGGGCTGCAGATGTAGTTCAGGGCAAAGGCTCTGGGTTCAATTCCAAGAGCAACAACAAACACTGTTTCCTTTAAGTATGAATTCAAGTATTTCTTTTTCCCAGAATAGAACTGAAATAAGCTGATGCTATTCAAAGAAATTTCTGAAGTCCATCAGCCACTGAGTACCTGAGTTTTCACCAGGATCCTTTGGTTTCCAAGAAGCCTGGTGTGTCACTTTGTCACTGACACAAAGCACTACCAGGCCACTCCAAGTGGCTGCTTCTGACCTTCTCCTTCCCTTTTGGGAAGCTAGTTGCCTTCTTATAATAGTTGGCGATTAACAGCAAGTCCTCCTGGGTCAACTGCTCCGGCTAGCATCTCCCAGTCTCATAACAAAGATCACTTTTGCTAAGAAACACAGACCACTGAACCTGACTCTGGGCCCCGAGGGAATGTTCCTGTCTCAGCATCTCCCAGAGTGCTCTTTTTGCTCCGAAGAGCCAGGAGGTTGGACAGGAACATTCTGCCCAATGGAGGAAGCAGGCTCTTCTAGTTAGTAAAATTTCAGAAAAGAACTTCAAAAAGGGAAACATTTAGTGCTCCTATCCCTGTAGTTCATATTGTTTAGTGTGATGGAAAAGAAATAGATTTTTCCCTGAAAGGCTTGGAGTCGAGCCTGCGTTCCTTCATTTCTTCGTTCATTCTCTCAGCCATTCGCCGTGTGTTTATGTCCTGGATGTCCTGTGTTAAGCACAGCACTACGTATTCAGGGATGGGTCAGGGAGGCAGGCTTATAAAAGTGAGTAGTTTGTGTTCCCAGCAGTGAGAAGCCACATTCTAATGAGGAAGATAGGTAGGAAGCAAAATATGTTGTGCCAGTGAAGAGTCTTGTGAGAAGCACCATGGAAACTCAAATGAGAGCACAGCGATGAGTTGTTGGAGGGTCACAGAAGAGATCACATCCGCATGGGATTTTGAAGGATGAATAGGAGTTCAGCAGATAGAGAGCATGGGAGAAGGATATTTCACGCAGAGGGAGAAAAAAAACAAGCCGAAAAGCATGGAAACATAGTTCCCTTTAAAAGAGCCTAAACAGTTTTGGCTCCATTTAAACGATAGACTTTTAGGTTTAGAATACAACTTCAAGACTGTCTGATCCCTCACTTACATCTCCGGTGTGGCATAAAAAGTGAACATTTGGGGATATTTTCTTAGCTGATTTGATTTTCCCCAGGCCCATCCTTCTCTTGTGCAGGGTAATAGTCTTTTTGTTTTGTTTTGTTTTTTTAGAAAGAGCAGAATCACATAATTTTCTTCAGGTTCATTTTGATCCTTGGTTTCAACATGATATGAAATAGAGGAGAAATGTGATACATTTCAACTAGGAATGTGACAGTAGCACTTGTGAAATTAATGGAAATTGTCAATGAAAACAACCCTAGGTCAGATTTCTCATTTCTCATCTTCAGTGGAGATTTCATTGGCGTATCCTGCAGGTTGGTGGGAGACAGATTTGCCTTCTAGAATATATAGATCCCCCCAAGAGGCATATCTTGCATATATATTCAACAATTGCCTAGACACACTTTTCAAATTGAGGATAAGATTACAGATAATACCTTCTCCACAAGCTAATATACTCTAGCAGAGCCTGCTTTAAGTGAGCATAAATATCTGACACACATACATCAAGATTTGAAACCCAAAATAGAAATCTATAAGTATTAATAGACACTCGGTTCCATTTCTAAAGATGGGACTGTAGCAATTAAACCTAAATGCAAAGAAAAAAAAGTCTCTGATATCCTCCAGCATTCACAGGTGTTCAAAGCATCCAGAATCCAAAGACATGGATTCTAACCATGACCTAATGACCTTGAACTTGAGTGAAAAATGTTGATGTCATCTCTTGAACAGGACCATTGTGAAGGTCATGGAAATACAATGGAATTTAAAGCAATACTGAGAAGCTGCTCAAAGGCAAGGCATTGTTGCCCACTTTATTTTGGGTTATTCAAACAGCATCAGTGTGCTAATTAAGTCACTGTGATTTAAAGCACATCTAGGTCCTGGCTTCCAGAGGTAACCTTTTCGGCGTCCACGATGCTTTGGAATTCCTGTGTTTCAACACTCCCAGCCCGGCTCGGAGTACATTTACCCTGGCACAGTAGCAAGGGATGGGCCATTTGTTTATTGGCGTTGCCTGGAACTGTCAGGGGTCACTGAAGGTGAGACACCAAATATAGGTTTGCCTGTCACCCGGCCCCATTTATCACCCACATCACAGTCCCTGCCATGCCGCCTGGTGCTATGTTCCTGGCCAGTCCCTAAGATAGTCGTGCTGTCTGTCAGAGATGAGCAGTGGGTAAAGTCTGAAATGGGAGACATTGGGGATTTATGATCAGGAGCTGGAATGCAGGGCCCACTGTGCCAGCATGCGTCGGGCAGGACTCCAGGGAAGGCTTCCGAAGAGGTTATACTGCCTGTGCTGCAGTGGGAGCGTGCAGTAGATGCAGGCTGGACTTCCAGTCTCTTCGTACCTCTGTAAAGCTGGGTGATCTTGAAAACCACTGAAGCTCTCTGAACCTCAGTATCCCCTCACTTTTTCAAGTGAGGACAATAGTTCTTGCTATCCCACTATTGCTATGAGAATCATTTCAGTTCAGATACTATAAGATTGCTTTGTACACAGCACTCTCTATAAAATGTAAGATCTAATTTGTCTTGCCACAACTCTAAACTGTGTTGCATCTTTCAGAATTATTTTTAATCTATATTTTGGATACATTTTTCATAATTCAATACCTTTTTCTTCTTTCCTCTTCTGTCCTTCCTTCCTTTCTTCCTTCTTTCCTTCTCTACCTCCCTCACTTTCTTTCCTTCCCCTCCCTCTGTCCAGCCTCTCTTTTCCTTCCTCCCTCCCCTAACTGTGGAGAAAGATGATATCTTAGGGCAACAGCAAGTGCAGTACAGAAAATGGTCAGTGATTTAGTTTCTTCCTGGTAGGGGTCCACTAAAGAGAAGGCTGGGGCTATAGCTCAGTGGTGGAATGCTTGCCTCCCGAGCGCAAGACCCAGGTTCAATTCCCAGTACTGGAAAAAGAAAAAAAGAAACTCATGCTAAGCAATACTACACACCTGTAATTTTAGCTACTTGTGAGGGGAGGCTGAGGCAGGAGGACCATGAGTTTGAGGCCAGCCTGTGCAACTTAGTGAGAACTTGTCTCAAAATAAGAAATATATCGAGGGCTGGGGATGTAGCTCAGTGGCAGCACATCCTTAGGTTCATCCCCAGTACCACACACACACACACACACACACACGCACACACATGCACTCACACACACATCTGTTGGACTCAGGGACACAGATCTGACAGCACGGTGATTTCATGGCCTGGCTAATGCAATCCTATTGTCACTGAAGTTGACATGTTAGGAGCACAGCCCCGGGCCGGGCAGCGTGGCACATCACAGACCCCTCCCCTCAGCTCTTCAGTCAGATGCCATGGGGACACTGCCTTCTCAGATGGGGAGACAGTCTTGGTGAACTTACACCACTCACCTATGAGCACAGGGCTAGAATGTGTCCCCTGGTTAGACTGGAACTCTGATCTCTGACTCCAAAGCCATGTTCTCATTTTAATAGTAGCTATTGCCATTTACTATTCATCAGAAGCTTTACATTCATTATCTTTAGTATTGAGAATACTCCCAGACAGCAAATTTTGTTGTCCCCATTTTGCAGATGAGAAAACTGAACAGAGAGCTTAGGTAGCATGTTTAAGTTCACACACCTGGCGAGTGGCAGAGCTGCGGTTTGCACCCAGCCAAGCCGGTTCTATGGCTACGCTTCTCAGCACCTTATCACAACACACCGGGGAGGGACAGGTACCAACACCTCATCAAACAGACTTCCTGGCATGGGAAGTGAGATCTGACAGCTCCGATCTGTTGTCTCCAACATCCAGGGAGAGGACCAGGAATTTGATTCAGTAAAATAAAGGACTTTCTAAGAGTCGATACTGTTCAAACATGGAAAGGGCACTTCGGGAGCTTGAGAGTTCTCTGTCACTATTGATTTCAGCTCTGGTGGCCGTGAGTGTCCAAGTGGCAGTGACACTGCGAAACTCCTTCAAGGGTCCTTGAAGCCCTGAGACAGATCGAAGCCTCTCTCTGCACAGGTGCTGCACCGTGGTGTCCCCTCCAGTGCTGCCTCTTCTCCTGGTTCAGGTAAGCACGATGCCACGATGTGGTGAGAGAGCATGGGCTTTGCAAAGAGATGGGCTTTGGAAAGAGTATAGATCACCAACTATTGGTCTTGGACAAGTGGCTCAAACCCTTGAGCCCAGTCCTCAGGCTTGGAAGGTCAGGATGAGAAGGCTTTTCTGGGAAGGTTGTTCTTAGGTGGAATAAGATAACAATAGCTAAGATGCTACGTATTTATGCTTAATACACAGCAGGTACTTAATAATTTTAGTTGCTTTTATCATTACTATTGATAGTGGGGGTTTTTGTTTGTTTGTTTTTTGGGGGGATAAGGTCTCCCTTTTTAGTTCAGGCTGGCCCTGAACTCACTAAGTAGTCCTGGCTGGCCTCGAAACTGCGGCGATCCTCCTGTCTCAGCTTTCTGTATGCTGGGATTAGAGCCATGTGCCACCACGCCTGCCCTGCTTCTTTTCTATGGCCCATCTGGTTCAGGCTGTCAATCAGCTGTTTCTCAGACTTCAACGTGGACCACACAGATGTGGGCAGCCTGGGAAAGAGTCAGCTTCCTCCAGTACAGCGAGCCCTCCTGGTGTCCTTGACTTCCAGTGAGGTAAGACCCTGAGCCTCTGCCCACGGGCAGCCCTGCTTCTCTTGGGCAGCTCTGGTTGTGCTCACATTGCTGCTGACGTGGGCTTTGAGGGAAGCAGCGTGCCTACCCTAGGAGGTGGCCCTGTGGCCTCCTAGGACACCCAAGGGCAATGGCTTCCTCCTCAGCCTCTGATCCCAGATGTGTACACAAAGTCCCAGTCACTGACACTTTCCACAAGCCTGGGAGGCACAGGTTTCTTATTCCCAGTAAGGAAACAAGCCCGAGTGTTAGCTCAGTCCTTTAAAATGGAGACACCGCAGACACGGCCCTTGGACCAAGGCTGTGACACGTGGTCCTGTGACGCCTTTTCTGAGATTGCCTCTGAATCGCGACCAGCTTTCTCTCTCAAATGCACTCTTTCTTCTTTCCTCATTGGCGATTGTGCCGTACCTTGGTCTAAATCCTGGCTCTGCTGCTCTCTACCCTTGTGACCCTGTGCAGTGACTACGCTCTCTCGAACACTAGTTTCTTCCTGAAGAATCACTCCTTCAGGGTTGTTGGTTTTTTTTTCACAGTGAAATAAGCTGTTACTTGTTTTGAGGTTGCCTTGGGCAGAGCGGTACCTACCAAATCAATACAGACCCCTGCTCAGAAAGAGGTCCCAGCGAGGCTCAGGAGGAAATCTTCCATCCTTCATGGCCCTTGAAACAATCACTCTCTCCTTTTCTGCTTTCCTTCCTGGGATGAATACTTGCAGTTTTTCACATTTGCAGCCTTTGCATTTCTCCTTGGCCCCGAAGTGTTACCCTCCATCCAGCACTCCCCGACATCTGAGCTGCACACTTATAATTGGAAGGCTGCCCACTTGGAGCTGCTTCCTGTGTATTATGTTCCTGTGTCCTTCCTCTTGTAAACGAAGTTAATCATCTTCTAATTCCTGCTCACCTTGCTACCCACTCTGACTTCTGGACTTTATCATTACCCGCAGCCCATCAGATGAGGCCCCGTGCTTTTTCTAAAAGACCTTGAGTATTTGTACAATTTTATGAAGCTTCCCAAGTACTGTCTTGTACTTTATCTCATTCAGTTCTCACAAATCCCTTCGAGACAAGTGGACTACTTTAATGTTACTATTCAGAAAATGGGAACTGAGAAGCTAAGTGATATTCAGAGCTAGAATTTGAACTGACTCCGTGATGGATGCTCTTTATTTTCTTCTCAAGGTTCCCAGGATTTCTGAATTTGTATTCCACCAAGACTCTGCTCTACTTCCTCTAAGAGGGTTTGCTTATTTGTCTGTTAAATGCTGCTGCTCATACCCACCTCCTTCCCCAGCTCTCTCTCACCCTTCCCAGCGTCCTCTGTCCTGACGGATGGCCTACGTGTCCCAGTGGCAGAACAGCTGTCTGCCCAGGCCTAGAGGTGCGCACCAAGCCATGAGTCAGCCACACCTCTTGCCTAAAAGCCAGGGCTCATTTCCAGTGACCACAAATGACTGAGGTTCATAAGGGAACGAAACCAAATCAGGAAGATCTCCCACATTCGCTGGGGGATTTTATGCACATTGTGCCAAATTGGAGGTGGCCACCATTGAGACTTAATCCCAAAAGTAAACCGAGGACACAGGCTGTCCCCACTTCTGCACTTCTCTTTCCATGCATGCCACCGACCCTGCATAGTGCTGCCTCTACTGCCCCAGCCCTGAAGGAGAGAGGGCTCATCCATACATGTGAAGTTGCACTGAATCGTACTGCAGTTAGAGAAGGTTTCCAGGAGGGTCACCCAGCTCCTCCTTCCTGGAGAAGCCACTGCTTGGCTCGAGGAGGAGCAGAAATTAGAGGCAGCAGCTTTGATCTTTTGGCAGCACTTCCAACCAGGCCATTGCTTCAAACCACTTCTCAGTCCCAAGCACACTTAGGCCTGTCATTCACTGAGTATGAAAAAGAAATCCTTGCCTGGAACCTACAGGAAACACTGGGAATCAGGCCTTGCCCCTGGCTGGGAATTATCCTCCCATTACACAAGAGCTATTAATGAATTTTCAACACAACAATGTCTTTTTGGGGACTAGTTTTGATTAATTTCAAATGATTAAAAGCAAGCTTGTTGTTGAACATCTTTGGGATATAAAATCTATTTTAAATTTCAGTCATTCATCCACTCCTTTTGAATAGCACAGTTCCTTATAATTTGAGGGAAAGCTATCCTCTGTAATATTGTGGCTATTACAACTGCTTTCCAACTAAGCAGCACTTTACGGTTTGGAAAAATGTCACCACATTCATATCTATCCTTGAGGAAGAGGAGATCAAGTCCCCCAGGGCCAGAGCTTTCTGACAGTCCCTCACCACTAGTTATGTGGTGCCTCTTGGACTAAAATGTAGGTCTCGACTTTGGCTTCAGCAAACTCTTTCATTATTTCCTTCTGCTTTCCTGCCATCCCAACTAAGATGATAGGAAACATTCTACCATAGAAGTGGTTTTAGACCAAAAGTAACTCCATACTCATTTCTCTCTCTCTGTGTGAGGCTCCCCTGAACTGCCACCCCTCTAACACTTTATTTATTTATTTATTTATTTATTTATTTATGTATTTATGTATTTATTTATCAGTGTTGGGGAATTGAACCCAAGGACTCATGCATGCTAGGCAAGCACTCTGCCGCTGAATTACAGCCCCAGCCCTTGAACCCCCAAATATTAATCAGGCCTTTAAGAGTCTTTAACAACCACTAGATCTACACCCAGATCAAGCATAACTTGAGAGTTCTCACACAAAACCAGAGTGGTTACTGGTACCTGGGACGAAAACACCCTGTCACTCTGTAGGGTCCTTTAGGGTCCCTTTCAGTCACCCAGGCAGTCCACCCCAGCCCAAAGGCCAGCTTCACTCCACTCACCTGTTCTTTTGGTCTTAGTCAGCTCACTGAGTAGGGGAGGCTCTTGAACTCTTTAAATATATGGAGGCTGTCACCAGCCTTGTCCTACCAGGGGGAAGGGTAGGCGGGAGGCCAAGGGGAGGGGGTGAATAAGACATGAGTAACACAAGTGCTATCAGAGGCTGAAAATAGCCTGTGAGCAAAGCCCTGAGTTTTTTTCCCCCCATGCCAGCTGGTGGCTCTTGAAGAACAGTATCACTGAGGTTTTATTTTAATTGCCAATTTCCTATGGCACCGAGGGATCCATTTGTGGAGTCCATAATTTTTGATCAAGTGGGTGGAGCGGGAAGGAAGGTAAAGGATTGTATATCTGAAGTCATTCCTCCAGGGCCCCACTCTACTGGCTGTCCCGGACATGGACACAAGTTACCTGCGAATGAATCATGAGCCGTGTCTGGGAGCCTTCTGGAATTCTGAGACGTGGGCTACTACACTCGTGAGGAGAACTCAGAGCTAAAAATAAGAGTGATGGGGGTCTGAAGAGATATGTAACTCATCTCTTTAAGCTTGTGGGCTGGGGGAAGACAGCTAATCATCAGAAGCCCGTCACTCTATCCTAGGAAGAATAAATTTTCTCTCAAGTTTTGAGTTACTTTGTTCATTATTTTTCTTCTAAGAATCTGACCTGACAATACATCATTTTTATCTTCATAACCTTATATTTATGATAAGTCTTGGAAAGTTCCTGTAGACACACGTTATCTTTGGAGATCTAATTTCTTTCTTTCTTTTTTGGCCTGGAATGCACATGGTTTGGCTTTGATCAAGAATCATGGATCCATATGAATCACAGAATTTAAGAGCTGACAATAAGTTCAGAGATTTAAAGGTCAATTCTTCATGCAATGGATGGGAAAACTGAAGCATCTAACCCAGACAATGGCAGGGCCTAGATTGGAATTCATGTCATTTGTTCCTCAGGTTCAGGCACTTTCCTGTTGATCTGGAGGCTGAGGTTAGGTGTGCTTAGCCTCCATTAAAGAGGTTCATGTAATGTAGCCCTTCAAATCTGACCTATTAGCTCTTCAGTTACATGCCAACAAAGTACTTGGTTAAAGGATGGAATATTTCACTGTCAAGACTTGAGTTGTGATAGCCGAACATGGTAGCTCATGCCTGTAATCTTAGCACTTGAGAGGCTGAGGCAAGAAGATTGCCAAGAGTTCGAGGTTTGCCTGGGCTACATAGTGAGTTCAAGGCCAGGTGAGACCCTGCCTGAAAAAATCAAAAAGAAAATTAAAAATTTAAAAAAGAGTATTGTAATCATTTCAGAAAGATGGCTGGGGCATCACTTTACAGGAGATACCCTTGGTCTATATTCTCATGAAATAGCATGTTCATTGTAGAAAGAGACAGTGATGAATATCTTAGAAAACGAAGGCTCAAATGGACTTCTGAAGTCTTCTAGGATAGTGACTTCCAAAATCAGGTGTATGTGTGTTAGCATCAATACTTTATTCTACAGATAATCTTAAGTGGAACATCAAGACACAAGGCAGATAAACAAGCTCTATGGTGTGAAATGAGTAACACACTTCCACTGTCACCACCTTGTCATCTCCTATACCCTGACCCCACCTTCATGTCCCACCCACAGCAAGATGTGCAGACCATCTGCAATTTCAGTTTCAGATCGTCACTAGCTCTGTTCAGCATACATTCAAGTTATTTACACAATTATAAATTGCACTACTTTCATCATTCAGCTACTGCTCTTTGCACATTTTCTGTATCTTATGTTTTTCATTGGTGTGTGTAATAGAATGAGAATGAATTCTTTGTTGTTGTTTTTTTTGGTACTGGGGATTGAACTCGGGTCTGTCTGCTTGTGAGGCAGGTGGCGGAACCACTGAGCTAAATCCCCAGCCTGAGAATACATTCTTGATGAATTCATTTAGAGTGAGTCAGTCTCAATAGATGTACTAAATTCTCACACATTTGAAAAAGTATCAGTTTGCTAGTACAAATGTCACAGGCTAGCTGGTTTAAATAACAGAAATTTATTGTCTCACAATTCTGGAGGCTGGAAGTCCAAGATCAAGAGGTCAGCAGGGTTAGTGTTTTCTGGGGCCTTTTTTCTTGGTCCTCTCCCTGTGTCTTCACGTGGTCTTCCCTCTGTGTGTCTGTCTGCACCTTACTCGCCTCTTCCCATAAGTGTCAGTCATACTGATTAGGACCCACCTGTATGGCCTCATCTTACTTTAATTCCTTCTTTGGAAGTGCTGTCTCCAAGCACAGCATCTCATTCAGAGATACTGGTGGTTAGGACTTAAACATATGGATGTTTTCGAGGGACCCAATTCAATCTTAATTTTGCCTTCTACTTGAATGCTATTATGATTTAATTTAGGAATTAAGAAGAACTAAGAATTAAGAAAAAAGAATTTTACAGTGTTCTAGCAATGCTGCAGATAATGGTTTTGATGCCAGTCTTATTCATGGTCCTTTATTAACTTAGTTTCTTTCCTCTGGAAAATTTTAGGATCTTTTCTTAAATTTCATGAAAATCTTCTCAGGGTCTTTAAAATTTATTTAGCTTGATAGAGCAGTCATTTTGACCTAATAACTTAAATTTTTTTTCAGTTTTGGAAAAGTAAACAATTTTTTCATTAATTTCTACCTCTGTTTAACTTCCGTAATTAGAACTTCTTGTCCTTTTATGTTTATTCAAGAATTCCTTAGCTTGATCTTACATTGAACTAATTTGAATGTTATCCAAGTCGCATATCTACTTATTTTCTGATAATTCCATTTATAATTGTTACAATACTTTTCATACAGCCTATCCTTGCTTTATGACATATCATCCTCAAACTCTCTGCAGATATTAAGTATACTAATTCAGGGGAAGTCTTCTTTTGTTTGCTCTGTTAATTTTGTTTCCTTGGATATCAGTTTTTGTTGTTATTGGAGTTTAGTGTTTCTCCCTCAAGGTGCTGTTTTTTTCACATATATTTGGGATTCTTGGTTGTGTGTCTATCATTATACGTGAGAATTCCTGTTTACCCCTTGGTGGATACCACTGTGCGAAAGGAGTTTCCCGCAGCAGTGGTGGTGGGGAGGGGTGGACAATGTGGCCTGGCCGTGTGCTGTGCTGGCTTGTCGTCTGGGCTGTATGTGGATGGGACCTCCCTCTCCCTCTGGATGTCACTGGCTCTCCCAGAAGTTTCCCAGGCTTTTCCACACCGTAGCCTGGCACACGGGAAAGTGAGGGAGGTACTGGCCTGAATCCATGTCTTAATCACCATCCTGGTGATGCCTGAGCCCCTAACCATGCAAGCCCACTGATCCCAGGTTTGCAATGTCCTCCCTTGGCACTGTGCTCAGCCGCACGTGTTCGGCTTTCTTTCCCTCGTAATCCACATCCTTCTGCTTTCTGAAAGTCATCAAAGTTTCTCTCTCCCTTTTTTTGTACAGAGGATGGAACTCATGACCTTGTGTTTGCGAGGCAGTCACTGTGCCGCTGAGCTAAATCCTCGGCCCTTCTCACTTTTTTTATGGGCAATCTTTTTTGTTGTCTTTGATTTACTTTCCAATCCTTGGTGTTATTTTAGATTTACATTCTATTAAACCTTTTTCTGGAGTCTCGTGATCTGCCTACAATCTCCAGGTTGCGCTGTCTAACACAGTAGGCAATAACCTCATGTGGCTACTTAAATTGAAATTATCTAACATGAAATAAGTTTGAAAATTTGGTCTCAATCTCAGTAGCCCCATTTCAAGTGCTTACTGGCCACATGTGCCCAGTATCTACATAGCCGGCAGTACAGAGGCGGAAGGCTCCATCATTACTGAAAGCTCTGTCTGGCTTCTTCACCTGAAAAATAAATCCCCAAGTCCTTTTTGGGGTCCAATGAGGCTTTGATAATATTAAGCATTTTTTCAACACGTAACACAATGCTCGCTTGATGCTAGCTGAGCGTTCATCCAGTGGTAAGTGAATGGTAATGGTAAGACTTGAACCCACGGTTTCTGCCTCACTCTTCTCCCAGAATAACTATAAACCAGCAAACCATTGAGAAGCACAGGTGTGAAGTGGAACAATGAGGGCCATCGGAAATCACATGCCATAAAACACTACCTTTATACCCCAAGTCAGAAAGAAAAGGGAACTAAATTGTGAATGGTATTGATTTAAACCTCACAATAGCTTTGTCAAGGAGGTATTATTATTCCCCCCATTGTATGAGTGAGGAATGAAATAAATGCAAGCTCATGAAAATGAAGGAAGCCCCCCAGTGGCCACATAGTTGAGTCTACAATGCGTTGATGACAATGTTAGGACTGGAATCCACAGCTGCCTCTTCTTCATCCCCTAGAATAACTAAAACACATTAAGACATTGGGAAGCTCACATCACAAATGTGACAGGGAAATTCAAACCCCGATTTAACTCCAAAACCCTTCCACAAGTGTGGGCCCCAAATTTGTTTGCTCTTGGTCCCCTCAGTAAGCATTTTGAGCAATACTTGCATGGGTGTGCACACACATACAATGTTTAGATGTGTACACATATATTTTTTCTTGTAAATTATAAATACATTTCCATAATAATATTTACTTTAGAATCATACTCAGAACTTCGCACTAAAATGATAAAATAAATATAATTACAATTCTTATTCTCATACCCTATTATTTCATGTCTTCTTTAGGTTGCTGCCTGCCCCTATTCCAACTTTGGAAACCACTGTTCCAAGTATACCACACAAAAGGAGGAATATTTTATAGAGCTTGCAGGCCCAGGAATCTCAGCTTCCATCTGCTCATCCAAACCAGTCTGAAAAGAAACATAATTGGACCATAATGAATTCAATGTCAGCCACATTCTTGGAGTAACTAGAGCTTTTCACTGTTTCTATGCACCAGTGGGCTGACATTTGTCATTGGTTCTTATTTCAAAGAGAATCACCTCTAACCTACCGTCCAAAGGTTATTCCTGATCATGTGCCCCGTCTCTGAAAGGCACAGAAACGGACAAAGCAACACATAAGTGCCTCGAGATGTTTCTTTTTTTCAAGAAATAAAATGTTGTCATCTTTACTGAAATAAAGTGAGACTTAATGAACATACAGCTCATTTATTCATATCATCTAGAGTTTTAAAGTTAATCTTGT